AAGAGGGAAGCCAAAATGAGACAGGGTCACTCCAAGGCGGGTCAGGTGTTGGTCCGCTCACATGCCTGGGGAATGTACTGCTTACAGCATGCCCAGTAAATCTTGGCTGTTTGAGGTGTAACTGGTCTGTCCTTTCAACTCTTTGCTACTATAAGACATGGGAGAAGGAAATGGCAACCCACTCCAATATTCTTGCCTAGAGAATCCCATGGACAGAGGAGCCTGGTGGGCTGCTGTCCATAGGGTCGCACAGAGTAGGACATGACTGAAGCGACTTTGCATGCGTGCATGCATAAGACAATAACATGGAAGAAGAACCAACCTGACAATTATAAGTCAACTATACAATATAAAATAAAAAATTAACAAAACAAAACAAAATCCTCATTAAAACATTTAACAACAGGCTTCCCTGGTGGCTCAGTGGTAAAGAATCTGCCTGCCAGTGCAAGAGATGTGGGTTTGATCGCTGGCCTGGGAAGATCCCACATGCCATGAAACAAGTAAGCCACACTATTGAATTTGTGCTCTAGTGCTTGGAAACCAAAACTATCGCGCCCTTGAGCAGCTACTACTGAAGCCTGCAGAGCTGGTGCTCTGCAAGAAGAGAAGCCACCCCAATGAGAAGCTGGGATACTGGAGGGAAGAGTAAAATCCCTGCTAATGGCAACTAAAGACAAGCCCAGGCAGCAAAGAAGACCCAGTGCAATAAAAAATAAACAAATTTAAAAATATATTTAAAAAAATATAACAACAACAACAAGAAAAAATACAAGCATTGTAAGTAAGTGTCTTTGCTATTACACCTGCCATCTACCAATCTGGAGGGGCTGCTGCTTTCTCCAGTCTGTCCTTATTCTACCTGTATGGGGGTCAGATTGTGAACCAACATCCCTCCTTTAAAAGATAAGTACTCCTTAAAAAATATAGCCACAGTTCTGTTATCAGACTTAAAAACATTAATAGTACAGTTGCCCCATAGTTTTTGTTTTTCATGGTTTGCTTGAATTAGGATCCAAAGAAAGTGTATATGCTATGAATAATTGTTATAGCTCCTAAGTTTTTTAAGTTCCTAGTTCCTTCCTCTGTGTGCATGTGTGTGTGTCTGTGTCTATGTCTGTCTCTCTCTTTGCAGTGGATTTGCTGAAGAAACTAGGTTGTTGATTCTGGGGAGTTTCCTACAGTCTTGAGTTTGCTGATTGCACCTGGTCTACCTAACATTTTAACAAAGGAACGCCCAGGTCTCAGTCCTTATAGCTCACCCACGTTCTCCCTTGTGCTCATTTTCTTGGTAACCTCATCCAGTGGCCTGGGTTCAAGTATCTGCTGACTGCTCTGTGTAGATAGCTCCAGTCTGAGCCCTGCTCTAACTGCAGACTGCAACACCAAACTGCCTGCTTGCTTTGTCCACTTGGATATTTTATGGTCATCTCAAGCTTAGCTTGTCCACATTTCCAGGGCATCTTCCTCAAATCTGCAGCTCCTGTGCTTTTTTCCTATTTCCCATCTCTCTAGATGCTCAGGCCCAAATCCTTGGAGGTGTCTGTGACTTGTCTTTTATTCCTCACATTCAGTTTATTGGCTCTACCCTTCAAAAAACCAGCAACCTCAGATATGCAGATGCCACCACCCTTATGGCAGAAAGCAAAGAGGAATTAAAGAGCCTCTTGATGAAGGTGAAAGAGGAAAGTGAAAAAGCTGGCTTAAAACTCAACATTCAAAAAAATGAAGATCATGACATCCGAGCCCATCACTTAACGGCGAATAGATGGAGAAACAATGGAAACCGTGACAGGCTTTATTTTCTTGGGCTCCAAAATCGCTGCAGATGGTGACTGCAACCATGAAATGAAAAGATGCTTGCTCCTTGTAACAAACCTAGACAGCATATTAAAAAGCAGGGACATCACTTTGCCTACAAAAGTTCATATAGTCAAAGCTATGGTTTTCCTAATAGTCATATATGGATGTGAGAGTTGGACCATAAAGTCTGAGTGTCAAAGAATTGATGCTTTTGAACTGTGGTGTTGGAAAAGACTCTAAAGAGTCCCTTGGACTGCAGGGAGATCAAGCCAGTCAATCCTAAAGGAAATTGATCCTGAATATTAATTGGAAGGACTGATGCTGAAGCTGAAGCTCCAGTACTTTGGCCAGCTGATGCCAAAAGCTGACTCATTAGAGAAGACCCTGATGCTGGGCAAGATTGAAGGCAGGAGGAAAAGGGGACGACAGAGGGCAGGATGGTTGGATGGCATCACCGACTCAATGGACATGAGTTTGAGCAAGCTCCGGGAGATGGTGAAGGACAGGGAAGTCTGGCGTGCTGCAGTCTGTGGGGTTGCCAAGAGTTGGACGTGACTGAGCGACTGAACTACAACAGCCCTTCAAAATATCCCCACCCACTTCTTCCCACCCTCACTGCCATCTGTGACTGAGTCATCACTAGTCATCTCTTAGGTCTCTGCTTTATCTGTTGCCCTTGTTCAGAGTATTCTCAACAAGCAATTGGGGTTATAGGGCTAGTGTTTTAAAAGTCAGAGCATGGCTTTCACACTCAGGCTGTGCTGTGTTCAGTCATGTCTGATTCAGCCGTGTCTGATTCTTTGTGACCCCGTGGACTATAGCCCACCAGGCTCGGCTGTCCATGGGATTTTCCAGGCAAGTATACTGGAGTGGGTTGCCATTTCTTTCTCCAGGGGATCTTCCCAACCCAGGGATCGAACCCAGGTCTCCTGTGTCTCCTGCGTTGCAGGTGGATTCTTTACTGCTGAACCACCAGGGAAGCCCGCTCTCATTCAAATATCCCTCAATGGCTCCCATCTTCCTCCAAGCAGGAGTCAAGGTGCTTCCGATGACCTAATCTCACCTACTGCTATCATCTTTGTGTGACTTATTGAACATGTAAATTGCATTCCTAACGTCACAGCCTTTGCACGTCTGATTCCCTTTTTCTGGAACATTCTTTCTCCAGACTTTCCCATTATTTGAATTTTGAAAACATCAGTCTGGCTTGTTTATTTCCTAAATGCATATATAGGGCTTTCTTGGTGCCAAGCATTGTTCTAAGTGATTTACTTCATTAACTAATTTTATCCTCATATGACACTATGAGGTAGGTACCAGGGAAGCCCTTATCTTCTCTTTTTCAGATTCTTTTCCTGTATACATCATTAGAGTATTGCGTAGAGTTCCCTGTGCTATGTAGTAGATCCTTATTAGTATCTATCTTATACACAGTAGTGTGTACATGTCAGCCCAGTCTTCCAATTTACACCTCCCCCTCCCCTGTCCCATAACCATACGTTTATTTTCTATAGCTGTAACTCTGATTCTGTTTTCTAGACAAGTTCTTTTGTAGTCTTTTTTTAAGATTCCGCATATAAATGATATCGTGTGATATTTGTCTGTCTTACTTCATTCAGTATAACAGTCTCTAGGTCAATCCATGTTGTTGCAAATGGCATTATTTCATTCTTTTTGTTTATGGCTGAGTAATTTTCCATTATATGTATGTCCCGCATCTTCTTTATCCATTCATTTGTTGATGGAGACTGAGGTTGCTTCCATGTCCTGGATGGAATGTAAATAGTGCTACAATGAACAATGGGATGCATATTATCTTTTCCTGTTATGGTTTTCTGTGGGTATATGCCCAGGAGTAGGATTGCTCTTCCCTGTGCTACATAGTAGGTCCGTATTGGTCATCCAGGGTAGCTCTATTTTTTTTAAGGAACCTCCACACTGTTCTCCAGAGTGGCTGCACCACTCCTAGTTCTCTTATCACTTAAGGATTTGCAAGGTCTTAGGAGCCCTGTGTCAGGGACGGATCAAAAGCCAAGGATTAGAACAGGACATGCTCCTTGTGCTCTTATCATTTATGAAATTACAAGGGGTCTAGTGGCCCTGTTCCATGAACTGGAGGCAGAAACCAATAAATATTTCATCTTTTCTCACAGTTTCCCTTCTCTCAGGGGTCTCAGTCTTGTTCTACCTGTTGTCCGATATCTGAAAACCTTTTTTTTGTTTGTTTTGTTTGTTTTCTAATTGTTTAAGGCAAGGAAATTTATCTACTGCCAACTACTCCATCATAGCTGGAAGCAAAAGTCCAACTCATTCCTTATTTATTGATGAGTGGTGTTCCACTGAGTGGATATACCGTATTTGTTTAACCTTTCATCTACTGTCGAACATTTGAGTTGTTTCTCATTTTTGGAATGGAACTGTACAAATCTTTGTATGGACGTATGTTTCAGTTTCTCTTGGGTAAATACCTAGGGGTAGAATTCCTAGATTGTAGAGTACTGTATACTTAACTTTATCAGACACTGCCAAACAGTTTTCTAAAGTGGCTGTATCAGCAGTGTATGAATTCACACTGCTCCACATTATTGTCAACACTTGGTATTGTTAATCTTTTTAACTTTTAGCTGTTCTAGTGCATATGTAATGAAATTGTTACCACACCAAATTTGGGTCCACTTGCTTGCACATGGTAAAGCCAATCTACAGACACCAGGTCGTGGTGAAGGAAAGTGTTGTGTTTATTGCAGGGCACAAAGCAAAGAGTCCAGGGCAACTAGTGCTTAAAAGGTGCCCCCCAACTCCTCAGAGTCTTTCAGGGAAAGGTTTTTAAAGACAGGGTGAAGGAAGGGGAGGGGCTTGGGGTGATCAGCTCATGGACATTCTTCTGATTGGTTGCTGGTGAGGTAATCGGGAGTGACCATCTGGTTCCAACTGGTCTGGGGTTTATGGGCTTGTGGGCAGCATACTGGCTTCCCCAGGGGCTCAGCAGTAAAGAAACTGCCTGTGATGCAGAAGACACAGGAGACCTGGGTTCAATCCGTGGGTCGGGAAGATCCCCTGGAGGAGGGCATAGCAATCTGCTCCAATATTCTTGCCTGGAAAATCCCATGGACAAAGGAGCCTGGCAGACTACAGTCCATGGGGTCACAAAGAGTCGGACATGACTGAAGCAACTGAGGATGCACACACAACTTCTTCCACCTGTTGGGGGCGTTAGTATCTACAAAACAGCTCGAATGACATGGCTCAGAATATCATCTTTAGTCCTTGAGGAGAAACTAAAGGTCCTTGACACTGCTTAATGGCTAAAGTATTGTTTTGTCTTGCTTGACTGTTTCCCTTCCTTTCTGCATTTTCTCACTTCTCTAATTAAATTTACTCTTTGGAACTTGGGGACGCCCTAGGAAGCTAAAGTCTTTCTTTACACAAGAGGCAGGCAGAGGACATGGTTGGGGGAGGGGGATCTGTTCTGGGAAGGCTCCACAGGGTCTGGCTCACTTACAATATCTCATTAGTTATCAACAGCATGTTCTTGAAAACTAATATTTGCCTGGCCTGCTGCAGTCCATGGGGTTGCAAAGAGTTGGACACGACTTAGCGACTTAACTGAACTGGATGATACTGACAGTCCTTTAGGTGCTTATTGGCCATTTGTATTTTTTTTTTTTTTTTTTAATGAAGTTTAGGTTCATATTTTTTCCCCGTTGGCTTGTTCATCTTCTACTTACTGAATTGTAAGGGTTCTTTTTACATTCTATATGTAAGTCCCTTGTCGCTATAACAGAGTCCATGCTTTTAACCACTCCTCTTTATTCAGTGGAGGGGGATGAGAGGTGGTTGTAAGGATATAAACAGGCCATCATAACTCAGGAGAGAGATGATTGTGTTTTATACCAGCAAAGAAGTTTAGATGGAGCAAGGTGGATGGAATTTTTAAAAAAATCTTTAAGGGATTCTGGCTCTGTTTTTCCCTTGTCTTCTGATTATTCTTAAATATGTTTAAAATATACAACCCTGAATCTTGTCTGTGCTTGAATTAACTGCAGGAGAATGTCACAGGAACCTCGGAGATGCTCTCTTTGGCTGTTTCTTTTCCTGAGCCATGGAGTGGCAAGTTACAGAGCTTCAGACTCCTGGCAGGGTAAGTCTTGAGGGAGGGGTCATCTCTCACGGTTTCCATGCATCTCAGGGAATGGAGTGGGGTTAGGTCAGTTCAGGTATGTGGTGCTATAGAGTGTTCTGGGACGTGTGCGTGCCTGTGTGCCCTGTATGTCCCTGTTTATGTAGAATTTTCAGGGTTATTCTAAAAGGATTTCTCAAACCAAGATTTCCTCACCCTGGAACAAGTATAATAAAAATTCACTAAAAATTTCCTTCATGACTAACCTTTTTTGGGGGCTCTTTTCTTAACACATCTGTATTTTTGAAGGTCATCCCTCTCAATTCTGTTTATACGTTCAATGGCTTTGTTGCAGATTTGCATCCGTTGGTGCAAAAGATGGCGGTGAGTATTCCATATTCTTCTAAACAACATCCCCTCTGCTGAAACCGCCAACGCGTGGATGTTATACTTGATGTTATCTTTTTGCCTTTTAGGAAGAAATAATAGATGGAAGCTACCTGAATGGTAACGTTCCCACTGTCCCTGCTTGTTGCGTCTAAGAATTTCAAACAGGAGGTGCCTGTGATCTCTCTGGAATGATTCCCTTTTAAGTTGTCTTTTCATTTTATTTCCATTGTAGCATTGCTGGATCTCATACAGTTTCAAAGGTAACTCATCCTAAAGGGGAGGGAGAGGGATGGAATAGATTTTCTTAATGGAAGTCCCTTAACTATAAAAAATACTATATACTCGTTTATCTAATTTATCCAGAATTTATCCAGTGCACAAGTGTTTTAGAATAGATATATTTGTTTCATACAATTTTGGCCCCCTCTGCTGTAACAGAAGAGCTCACATTTACTGAGTGCTTACTATGTAGCAGGTACTGTTCTAAGTGCTTTATGCATAGAAAACACATATGATCCTCCCAAACCTCCGCCTCCTCCCACCCAGGTAGGTCCTTTTGTTATCTCATTGGATAGAATAATGAAACTGAGGCCCAAGGAGGTGATTTAAGGTCACGAAGCTGGGAAGTGGTGTAGCTGGGGTATGTACCTAGCAGCCTGGTCCCAGGGCTCACTGTCACTTTATTTTTTTAGAATGCTCTATCATTTTATCTTATTTGGTCACACCATGTGGCATATGGGATCTTAGTTCCCTGACCAGGAATCGAACTGATGCCACCTGCTATGGGAGTCTTAACCACTGGACCACCATGAAAGTCCCTCACTGTCCCTTTGTGTACTGTTAGATACCACCCTGTGGAGCAGGGCACTGCATAGTGTTGTGGCAAGGTAGATATTAACAAATAATTCTAATGTGACAAGTACTATGAAGGACAGATGGGAGACTTGGGGCCCTTGACAGGAGCACTCAATTATGTTAAAGTGAAAGATCCCCATAAACACTCTTCTCCCTAAGGTAACTCCAGTTGACAGTATTGAATATATTCTTGCAGGCTAAAATTTTTTATCTGTCTCTAACTCTCCATTTATCTAGCAGCACCTATCTATCTATCTATAACGAGAATGTGATTATAAAAGGCCTCCTAATTGTTTAAGGCAGGAGAATTTATCCACTGCCAGTTACTCCATAACAGCTGGAAGCAAAAGTTGCACTCATTCCCCTTTTCTGAGTGAGTGGCATTCCATCAAATAGGTATTACCACCTGTTGAACATTTCACCTGTTGTTGGACATCTGAGTTGTTTTCAATTTTTGGCTGTTATGAAGGAAGGTGTGTGTTTTCTGTGTGTTTGGCGATGTTTTAGCACTTTACATGTGTGAACAAATTTAATTCTCACAGTTAGCTATATTACATAGAAACGGAAACTGGGGCACAGGAAAACAGTAGATTGCTTGAGTCCACGCAGTTGAGTGGTAGAGCCAGGATTCAAATCCAGGTTTTGAGCCCACAGTCTTAACTCTGCTATTCCAGCCTCTCATGGTATATACAGCGTTTGCTTTGTAAATTGAACATAGTCAGGGGGCTTCCCTGGTGGCTAAGCTGGTAAAGAATCCGCCTGCAGTGAGGGAGACCTGGGTTTGATCTTTGATCCCTGGGTTGGGAAGATCCCCTGGAGAAGGGACACCTGTCCAAGTCCATCTGTCTGGATTGTTAATCTGAGTGGATTGTTACAGGATTTAGAATATAGTACACAGCTCTGAAACTGACTATTGTCTTTGAGAGACTGGTGTTTCGGTGGCTTCCTAGTACTGGAAACTGCTCCACACTGTGTCAGGGCAACACCTCTCCTTCCTCCAAAGCACAGAGTTCCTAGCATCCTGGCCCACTCCCACTGTCCTCTCTGAACTGCGGTCCCCTGAGCTCTCAGCTAGCAGGGGGACTACCCATCCTAGCGGAACCTGTCATCACGACCTTCTCTGTCTGTCTTCCACTGAAGCTCCCACGTGTGGACGGCGGACCTGTCGCACAGAGTCCTGGCCTATCTGAATTCACGGCACGTTGCCTTCACCATCCCCAGCCTGCAGGTGTGTATCTGAGACCCACCCCCGTGTTCCTCTCTCAGTGCCCAGGGGTTGCAAACTCAGGAGCCAGGTGAGTTGGAGAACTGGTGGAGAGCTAGTCTTCACTTCCACAAAGAAACATGTTCTGTCCAGTGTTTTTGGAAATGTGCTATAAGCTCTTTTGTCTTTTGTTTTTCTACTTTTGATGGAGACATGGTGTCTGTATAGGGTGTAGGCTGAGCTGCTGTCTCTCAGCAAAGACCCCTCAAATTACAGCAGCTCAAACAATTTAGCTTATTTCTATTATATGTAATACTCCAGGGCCAGGTGGGAAGTCCAGAGAGGAGAGGCAACTCTAGCTCAAAAGGCCATCAAGAGGCCCAGGTTTCTTCCGTCTTGTTGCTTTGTCATCATCTAGGGAGTTATTCTGGAGAAGGGAATGGCAACCCACTCCAGTATTCTTGCCTGGAGAATCTCATGGGCAGAGCCGCCTGGCGGGCTACACAGACCCCATTCCATGGGGTCTCAAAGAGTCGCACATGACTGAATGACTAACACACACACACACAGGAAGTTGTTGCTCACGTAGTTGAAATAACATATCCATTCTCCACCCCAGAGAGGGCGCCATGGGAAAGAGGAAGTGAAGGGTGAACAGCTTCTCTTTAAAAATGTGACCTGCAAATTGCACACTTCCTCCTGCTCACATTTCATTGGCTCACAGTCCACAGTCACATCTCACTCCTGAGGAGTAAGATGAGAGGCCATGTGCCCGGATAAAATTTGTGGGCTTCTGTTGCTGAAAGGAATTACAAGAGAGTGGATCTTTGGGTGTAATTATCAGTCTCTCAAACGCAGGTCCAGGAGATATTTCTCTTCCCTTTAAATTCTAGTGTAAGAGAAACAGTAGCGCAAGTGTGTAAATGGATGGCAATGGATATTTACATTAGGGAACAGTAGGGGATGGTAGGAATCGCAGTGAGCTGGCCAGCCTGTACCTCATGAGCGTAATTAGTAGACAGGGTGCAATGCTGTGTCTTTACCAATACACTGTCAAGAGCACGGAAAACTAAAAGAACATCCTTTCAGAGTTCAAAGACTGTTACCTGATTCAGCAAAGAGGTCATATCACTTACGAATGAAGTTTCCACATACGTCTTTGTTGTGCCAGCTTTTACTTACTTTATGGTGAAGATGAACATTGATGTGAGAACTACACTGAGATTGCTGGTTGTTAACCGCTTACAGCCACTAGATGGAGGTGGCCGGTGGCCTCATGGCATCTGCTTTCTTCGTCTTGTTCATCAGCCTGTGTAATCTATAAAGAAGTGATGCTTGCCCCTTTCTCTCTAGCAGCTCTTCATGAAATGTGTATATTTTAACCTGAGTTGAACTATACTCCCTCTCTCCCTGTTTGTATATTCATTTATTCATTCTGTACCTACTCATCCAGCCTCTAGTCTCTGCCAGGCACAGTTGTAGACACTGGAGACTCAGAACAGGCAGTGACCTGACCACCCAGGTGGGCCTGTCGTTCTAGAGGGAGAGACTCGCTTACAGCCACTAGATGGAGGTGGCCGGTGGCCTCATGGCATCTGCTTTCTTCGTCTTGTTCATCAGCCTGTGTAATCTATAAAGAAGTGATGCTTGCCCCTTTCTCTCTAGCAGCTCTTCATGAAATGTGTATATTTTAACCTGACTTGAACTATACTCCCTCTCTCCCTGTTTGTATATTCATTTATTCATTCTGTACCTACTCATCCAGCCTCTAGTCTCTGCCAGGCACAGTTGTAGACACTGGAGACTCAGAACAGGCAGTGACCTGACCACCCAGGTGGGCCTGTCGTTCTAGAGGGAGAGACTTTGAGTAAACAAAACAATTCTTCCACTCATTCAGGACAGAGGATAATGGCTGGCCCTGACTGAGAACACTTTACGTACTCATTTACTCCTCGTGACATAGGATTAATCCTTACTTACATAGTAAGTTTGACTCTTGTCCCTACTTTTCAGCTGAGAAAACTGATACCTGGAGATGCTGTTGCCCATTTGTCAAATAACACCCAGGAATCTCAGTTAACTTTGACTTGCAGATTAATAGCAAATACATTTTTAGTAGAAGTACGTCCCATGCCATATTTGGGATATACTTATGCTAAAAAATTATTCTTTGTTTATCTTTAATTCAAATGTAGCCGAGCATCCTGTATTTTATCTAGCAATCCTAGTTAAGGAACTTGCCTGAGGCTGCACGACTAGTAAGTGGCAAGGTGGGGATTTGCACATGGGATGTCTGGTTCTAGAGCTTACCTTTTGTCCATGATACTTTGCTGCCTTTTTAGAGCACTTTTATTTAAGGAAGATTTAGAAAATAGCTCCCCAGATAGCAGAGGAAATCTCCTCTAGGAGAAACTGCTGGCCTCTGCACCTTACCCTGGAGGGGATGCCACAGCCAGTTCATGCTGCCTGAATGCTGCTCCTGTGCAGAGGGCTTGGAGCATGGCAGAGGGTTTGGAGCATGGTAGAGGGTTTGAGCAGTGACCATCTGGGCATAGTAAACTACCTGGGTAGAGGTCAGCTGCTCTGAACTTGAAACCTCAGTTGCCTGCAGGGACCACGCAGCTGTGGGATAATCAGCTAACTGGAGGGTGGTGAGCAGGAAGAGTAAATACAGTGAACGACTGCCCCATGGCCTGTTGATTATTACACGGAAGGGGCTATGTGTCCAGCGTTGCCACATCTTTGTGGATTTTTGTGAGGAATTTCCTGAATTTTAAATGTTGGCAGCTCATTAAAAATTTTGGAGCCAACTCCACCAAGGGTGTGCAGGCTGCCAGCTTGCGGTCTCTGCAGGGAATTAGGTGGCTTGGCTGGGTGCTGACTGTGTGCTCCTGTCCAGTCCTCACTGACTCGCCCAGCATTCCATGTCCAGGCAGCCATGGCAAACCACCTGGAGCAGCGTTTGTACCAGCCCCAGAAGCTGCTGGAGGACCTGAGGGGAACAGACACTCCGCAGTTCCACACCGCCATGAAATATCTCTTGGAAGACAAGAAGGACCGCCTGGTGAGGCCTTCTTGGCATCCTGGGAGTAGGGGGAGTCCAGGGCATTCAACTTGGTGCTTGTCAAGTTGAATGGAATTGAGTCTCATTCTGGTCTCTCTTCATCTTCCCCTGAAAACTCCCTGGGACCTAGATTTTCTGTCTTACTTCCTCCAGAGTTCAAATGAAGTGCCTTATAATTCATATTCTTATGGTAGCTCAGACGGTAAAGAATCCACATCCTATGCGGGAGACCTGGGTTCGACCCCTGGGTTGGGTAGATCCCTTGGAGAAGGGAAAGGCAACCCAATCCAGTATGGTAGAGGGTTTGAGCAGTGACCATCTGGGCATAGTAAACTACCTGGGTAGAGGTCAGCTGCTCTGAACTTGAAACCTCAGTTGCCTGCAGGGACCAGGCAGCTGTGGGATAATCAGCTAACTGGAGGGTGGTGAGCAGGAAGAGTAAATACAGTGAACGACTGCCCCATGGCCTGTTGATTATTACACAGAAGGGGCTATGTGTCCAGCGTTGCCACATCTTTGTGGATTTTTGTGAGGAATTTCCTGAATTTTAAATGTTGGCAGCTCATTAAAAATTTTGGAGCCAACTCCGCCAAGGGTGTGCAGGCTGCCAGCTTGCGGTCTCTGCAGGGAATTAGGTGGCTTGGCTGGGTGCTGACTGTGTGCTCCTGTCCTGTCCTCACTGACTCGCCCAGCATTCCATGTCCAGGCAGCCATGGCAAACCACCTGGAGCAGCGTTTGTACCAGCCCCAGAAGCTGCTGGAGGACCTGAGGGGAACAGACACTCCGCAGTTCCACACCGCCATGAAATATCTCTTGGAAGACAAGAAGGACCGCCTGGTGAGGCCTTCTTGGCATCCTGGGAGTAGGGGGAGTCCAGGGCATTCAACTTGGTGCTTGTCAAGTTGAATGGAATTGAGTCTCATTCTGGTCTCTCTTCATCTTCCCCTGAAAACTCCCTGGGACCTAGATTTTCTGTCTTACTTCCTCCAGAGTTCAAATGAAGTGCCTTATAATTCATATTCTTATGGTAGCTCAGACGGTAAAGAATCCACATCCTATGCGGGAGACCTGGGTTCGACCCCTGGGTTGGGTAGATCCCTTGGAGAAGGGAAAGGCAACCCAATCCAGTATTCTTGTCTGGAGAAGCCTATGGACAGAGAAGCCTGGTGGGCTACAGTCCATGGGGTCATAAAGAGTTGGACACGACTGAGCAACTAACACTTTATAAGTACTAAGAAATGATGGATGCCCAGACCAGCCAGTGTAGAAACTGGCAAGACAGTTCAGTGGGGTGTGCAGCTGGAACACTCCCAGTTCACTGCAGCTCTGAACCTTCAGGAATGCCACCTGCACACACTCACACTCTGTCCAGGGTCCCGGCCTAAGCCTTACCAAGATACTGGTCTTGGTTTGGGGGCATTCGAAATCTTAAACTAGCAGAAGTTTCTTCTTTTCTAGTAGGTGTAGTCCTTCCACAATCTCAACTCTGTAAAAAAAATGCTTTGTAGTTAAAAGCAGTCTAAGGAAGGCTGGTATAAAAATGTTTTGATCAAAAAAAAGAAAAAAGGTATTGTAAAGGCACAGTTGTGGCAGTCAGTTTTTTGAAAGTAACTTGTGAAGCGTTTACCATATCCTAAATTTGCACTCTTTGCAGACTTGTGCACATATGCTTTGCTTTCAGAATACATTTGCAGATTATACACAAAAAGGAGGAAGCTTTTTAATAAAGATATTGCATTTATAAATGATCTGTATTAGAATATAAAAATCTCCAGTTATATTCAATTACTACCCATGTTGTACAACAGACCCCTTCTATTTTAGTTGCTAACAAAAGGCTACACAACACACACACACAAAGAAATGAGGGGTACTGAGGAGTCCCAATAGTTTGGCTTCATAAATACCCATGAATGATTACTGTGTACCAGGAGACACTGGGTTCTGAGATGAAAGACTGTCTCTGCCCTCAAGGAGTTTATGGTCCCGAGGAGACAAAAAACAGAAACAGGTAATTTTCACAAAATAAGGCTGGCTATGAAAGAGCAAAGCAAGGCCTCTGAGACACAGAGAATCACTGGGGACCAGAAAGGGGACGTTTAGAGTTTTTCAGAGACAGTTGAAAGTGGAGCAGCATTCTCCTAAGGGAATTGAAGCATTTAAACATGCTAATAATCATAAATTAATTTCAATGTCTGTTGTTAAAATACACATCCAAACTGTGAGTTTGATGGAGATGTAATTTTTCCTTTTGAAATGAATTTAAGTTTTAAGAAGAGTCAGTTTAAAGTTAAACTAAATAATTGTAAAGGCGATGAAAGATATGGCCAAAATGAGGATGGTGGCCTATGAAAATGGTCTGGATTAATGTTTATTGAGGGTTTGCCATGTGTCAGGTATTGTCCTGAGGGAATGATCAGTGAACTGTTTCTGTAGAGGGCCTCATAATAAATATTTCAGGCTTTGCAGGCTGTACAGTCTCTGTCACAACTACTCAAGTCTGTGGTTGTAGTGTCAAAGTAGATGATAGGTAAATGAATGGGTCTGGATGTGTGCCTGTAAAACTTTATTTACAGAAACAGGCGGTGGGCTGAATTGGGCCTGTGGGCCATATTTGCCAACACTCTTCTAAAGGTTTAACAAGCCAGGACCTTCTGAAATAAGGGTAACTAGAATCTAACCATTTCAGTATTCAGATGAGGAAACAGGCTTGGAGAAGTTGAATAAGTAACTTCAGGTTACACAGCTTGAAAGTAGCAAATCTGAGGTAAGAACCTGGGTTCCTGCTCTTCGCTGTGAGCCCGTGGTAAGGCCCACAGGCTCCTTCTCAGAATAAGGTGTTAACATCTGTACAATGAAATACAAAGGATGATAAAGGAAGTTGATTGTATTGAAAGACATTTATCAAAATATGTAAGACAGAGTTGGGGGTCAGTAATTCTTGTACACTTTCAATAGTGAGGTTTAGTGGTTGGTCTCATGGCTTCTGTAATTTTGAGGAAATGTTGAGTGTGAGTGAGATTTCAAGTCATTTGCAACAACGGTAGTAAGTTATGAAAGTGTTTGTGATTTTTAGTGTTGACACATAAAAGCTTCTTGCTGGTTCAAAGCCACCTTGCTGGTTCGCTGCCTATGTTCATCCTTGAAGGAGATGCTGGGGGTCACTTCCACAGCTGTGAAAGGGAGGATGCAATTCCCTCCACCTCTCACCGCTGTGTTCACAGATGCCTTAATACTATCCACAGACCCCTGCCTCAGAACCCCCAAGTTACACTCTTAGCTGCTGCACTGTTTGGCCACAGTTGGCAATGACGGAAGTTAGGAAACTAGTAGACGTGGTTAGACGAGTGGGCTTGGATTCAGTACCCTTGTTTCAGATCCCAGCTTTGTGTGGGTTTGGGCAGGTTGTCTAGTCTTGCTTTTTCTTCTTGTCACCTGTGATAGTGAGTTAATTATAGCATGTAATGTTTGCTGAGCGTTCACTAGTTACCAAGCTCTCTCCATTCATTAAATCTCATTCAGTTTTTATAAATCCAGGAGGTAGGCACTGATTTTTATCTTCATTCAAGAGGAAGAAACCGAGGCTTAAAAAAGATGAGTGACTTACTCAAGGACGCACACATATAAGTCAAGGGCCTGGGATTTGAACCTAGGAATATCTGACCCTCAGACCTATGGGTCTCAACCTATAGGACTGTTGTGAGAATAATAGGAGAGTATGCATGGTTGCTCCATGTTTGGCACAGTGCCTGGCATGTAGTCCATACTCAGTAAATTGTGGTGGTTATTTTTGGAAGGTGTTTTGGGTGGAGGAGAGAGTGATGAACAGTCAAATTTTGCCTAAACTCTGTCAACGTTCCTGGGTCTGTGGTCCAAAGGATTCATTCATTCATCCTAACAGGCTATTTCTCAACATCTCTTGCATACCGGGAATCCCACTGGGCACATGGCATGGGCCTCAGCACTTTCCTGGCTCAGCCTTAGCTGTAGACTGAAATCAGATGCCAGGGCTCCACCAGAGCCCTGTTAAAGCAGACTCTGGTGGTGCTGGGGAATCACCTCCCTAGTCGTTCTGATGTGCAGCCAGGGTTGAGGTCCACTGGCTTGGAGGAAAGATAGGTTTGTAAGCATCTCTAATCACGGAGTTTGGTTCAGGATGCTCTTGGGAGCCCAGAGTGGAGGGAGGTTTGATTTGACCAAAGTAGGACATCGGAGAAGACTTCACCGGTTCAATGGTGACTGACCTTGACCTGAAAGAATCAGCTGGAATTTGCTGAGACAAGGAGGTGAGGATTCCAGCTAGAGCAAGGGCCTGAGGTGTGGCAGTCATGACGTATCTGGAGAAGGACAAGGTATTCTGTAGGTGACAGAAAAGTCTAGAATATTTGACATAGCAGCATAGTGTTTAATAGTGGTCCTGCATTTCACCCCTGCTGCTAAGCGTGGTCCCTCCCAGTGTTTCCAAGTTGAGAGGCAACCCTGACTTCTGTCACTCCTTTAGGAGTTGGACGACATCGTTATTGACTTGGGAGAGATTCGGAAACAAGCCTTGCAGAGCCCGGGTGTGAACCGCAGCCTGTTTCTCATCACGCTGGAGAGGTGTTTCCAGGTGCTGAAGCCCCTGGATTGTGTGGAGATCCTGGGCAGCGTGCTGAGGGGGTCCTCAGGCCGCTTTCTCCAGCCGGACATCACGGAGAGGCTCCCGTGGGACCTGCGTGAAGACGCCTTCAAGAACCTGTGAGTGCCCTCCTCCCCGCCACCCGCTGACTCCCCCCGCTGGCCTCAGAGTCTGTCCTGAGGTCAAGGAGATAACACATCTCCCCTCCTGAGGCAGGGGAGAAGGCAGGTGAGGACAGGTTAATATTCAAGGTCATTTAGAGATGGCTTGATTAAAACAGAGTCTCCCACGTTTTTGTCATTCTGGTATCATCCTCATAATTTTTACCATATTTGTATACCTCTTATATTATTGTTTATATCGTGTATTTAAAAAATAGGGATTCATTCTCTTTGCTTAAAATATCTATATTAAAAGTAAGAAAAATGATACATGCTACTGTATATAAAAGGGATAACCAACAAGGACCTACTGTATAGCCCAGAGAACTAGATTCAAATTTAGTAACAATCTATAAGGGGGACGAATCTGAAAAAAATAGATATATGTGTATGTATAACTTTGCCCATTCTTGAGCCACTAACTGTGGCCAGTGGGATCTGTAAGATGAATGGCTTGCATGTGGGTCACAGTTCCACCCAAACCACATGGATGTGGGAGAAACATCATTTTCCCAAGAAAAACTGGGGTGCTGTTATGACAAGAGAGGGGGTGGATACTTGACAGTCAAAACTTAGATGTCCAGCACAAAAACTTTATAGAAACTCTGAAGAAGAACCCAGGAAAAGATTTCGGGCCCTACAGAGAGAAAGACAGCAGAACAATTCAGGTATAACACTGCCTGACTCCGGGTTCTCATCATCCCTGGGGAGTCCAGAATATGCCCCCATTTCCTGTTTCCTGATGAGCATCATTTAATCCAACCTCTTCTTTCACAGATGAAGAAACTGAGGCCCAACAAGGGGATGGTATACCTGCAGTGACCCCATAGGGCTTGACTTAATCTGAACTCAAGCCAGTTCTCCTGAACCTCAGTTTTGCCTTCTTCTTATTCTCCCTTTCTGCTTGTGAGGATGTTGTTGTTAACCCCATTCCCATTTTTTAAATGGGAAAATTCAGGCACAGTGAGACTGAATAACTTGACCTAGGTCATGATAGAGCATTGTTACAAATGGGCAAGCTTTCCCTTAAATGATGTTTACCATTTTTTCAGAATTACTGAATATAGCTATCTCCTGTCCCTTTCACCCCCTCTGCTGTTATGAAAAACAAAACAACTGAAAGAGAGAGAGAGAAAGAGAGAAAGAAGAGGAAGAGGAAGAAGAAGAACCAGAATAAGAGAAGAAAGAGGAAGAAAAACAAGGAGGAGGAGGAGGAGGAAGGGCGAGGAGAAAAAGAAGAAAAGAAAGATATGGAGAGAAGATCCTAAGATGGATTTAAGGGAAAGTTTGCCTCTTCACATATGGAATGACTGGGAGAGTGGCAGGAACAAACTTTAAGCTTAGGAAAGGTTGGCGAGTTGGTCATTTGGTGAATTGATTTTCAGTGGTGGTGGATAGAATTGAGGGAAGTCTTCCGGGATGAAGAGACTCGACTGTTTTGCCGGGATGAACCAGAGGGGTGATCAGTGCCAAATGCTGAAAGGTCAACTTACATTGGACCAAATGGAACTGCTGGGTGTGGTGACAAGGAGGTCATTTGGAATTTGGACCACAAACAGTAGTGTGGCAGTGGGGAAACCAGATGACTGTGACTTAAAAAGTGACCAAGACACTTTATACCCTCAGGGTGTCTGTAACTGAAATGTCAGATAATCACAAGTGTTGACAAGGAAGTGGAGAAATCAAAACCTTCAGACACTGTTGGTGAGAAAGTAAAATGGTGTAGCTACTTTGGAAAATAGTCTGGCAGTTCCTCAAAAGACTACGTATAGAGTTGTCATTTAACCCAGTTGTCATTCCACTTCTAGGTCTACATCCAAGGAAAATGAAGCATGTTACATAAACACTTGTATGTGAATAATTATAGCAGCATTATTCGTAATAGGCAAAAGGTGGAAATAGTCCAACTGATGAGCAGATAAAGAAAATTTGGTATATTTGTACAGCAGAATAGAATTTGACCATAAAACAAAGTACTGATACATGTCCCAACATGCATGAACCTTGAAAACATCAGGCCATGTGAAAGAGGCCAGATACAAATGTGACATAGTGTATGATTGCATTTATCTGAAATATCCAGAAGAGGAAAATCTATAGAGGCAGAAAGTAGATTAGTGGTTTCTAGGAGATGGGGTGACTAGAGGTTCAGGGGTGAGAGAGAAGAGTACAGGTTTCCTTTTTGAGGCACTAAATGGGTTCTAAAATGGATTGTAGTGATGGTTGTAAAAGTCCATGAATATTCTGAAAATCACTGAGTTGTGTACTTTAAATGGACAAATTGTATGGTGCACAAATTACAGCTTAATGAAACTGTTATGTAAAAAAAAAGACCAGGTGGTTGGGAAGTGGAGATCAGTCTTTTGCAGATATTTAAATGTGATGGAAAGAGGAAAAATGGGAAAATAGCTACATACAGCAAGGGGAGTGGGAAAGACTTTTAACCAGTGACAACTCTGTGTGCATTTGCTGTTTGGACCCTGCCTGCAGGCCTGCATCTGTTTGTTCCTTAATTGATACCCAGGTTTGCGTTGTTTAGGTCTGTGCTGTTCAAAGATCTCTATGACCAGACCTCAGCACACGCCCAGAGGGCTCTCTACTGCTGGATGACTGGGGTTTTGAAGACATCCTCCAATGTGACTGGTGAGCCCAGGCTTTGAGGTGGGAACACTTTTTAGGGGGAGTCCATCCTTAAACGTGGTGGTGCTTCACCTCTATAAGTAGGGATTTGATTTCATTGTCACTTAAGACTTTTACCTCCCTCAGCTTCCAAAAAGGACGTGATGTGGCTTGTGGGAAAACACACATACCCCGTTTCATCAATGCATTTTTCACATGTTGAAGTCTCTGAACTAAGAATCATCTGTATCTTAGAATCAAAGGTGTGTCCTAGTTTCTTAGGAGATAATAACAAGTTTACAAGTTCAAAAATCTGTGTTAAAAATCTGTATCAAAAGTTCTTTTGAAGAAAATCTTTACAGTAAAGCCCAGACAGAAATTTAGCATGAAGCTTCCTGGCAACCAAAGCAGAAATAGGCCAGGATTTATTTGTTTGACAGATGTTTGTTTTTTTTGTAAATTAATTAATTAATTTTAATTGGAAGCTAATTTCTTTACAATATTATAGTGGTTTTTGCTATACACTGACATGAATCAGCCATGGGTGTATTGACAAATGTTTATTAAAAACCTACTATTAAAAGAAAATGAACCTACTATTTCCTAGAATAGTCAAATTCATAGAGATGGAATGTAGAGTGGTGGTTGCCAGGAGCTGGGAGAGGAAGGAATGGAGAGTATGGAGAGTTACTATTTATTTTGTTTATTTCATTTTGTTTATTGGTTGTGTTGAGTGGCTTGTGGGATCTTAGTTCCCTGACCAGGGATTGAACCCCAGGCCCATGGCAGTGAGAGTGCTGAGTCCTAGCCACTGGACCACCAGGGAATTCCCAGAGGTGCTGTTTAATGGGTACAGAGTTTCAGTTTTGCAAGATGAAAAAGTTCTGGAAATGGATGGTGGTACTGGTTGCCCAGCAAAGTGAATGTACTTAATGCCAGTGAACTGTGTACTTAAAAGTGATTAAGATGGTAAAATTTATGTTATGTGAATTTTACTACAATTGAAAAAAAAAGAAGAAAGAAAAGAATAGTGATGCAGATTAGTAATGCAAACAATTTCACAGGTAATGTCAACTTGTTGAATCTTTAATATTAGTAATGTAAACAGAATAAACTCTTTCAACACCTTAAAGAGCTCACTGGACTTACCTGGTGGTCCGGTGGTTGGGACTCCACCTTTCAGTGTGGGAGGCATGGGTTCATTTCTTGGTCTGGAACTAAGATTGCACATGCCACGGGGTGTGGCCAAGAATTAATAAAAAATCACATTTATAAAAAAAAGCCTAGTATGTGTCAGCCACTGGAGATACAGAGGAATAGAAGACAAGTCTTTGCTCTTACGGAGCCATAGTTTTATTGTGGGTGAGTAGGTGGAGAAAACTTTTAGGCAAGTAAATAAAAAGAAGAGAGGGAGAGGGAGAGAGAATATAGATATGAGTAACAGCTCTGCAGAAAATAAAATTGGTCAGTGCCATGGAGAGGGTTACTGCTTTAGAGTAGAACAGGGGTTGGCCACGGTTTTCTGTAAAGGGCCAGAGTAAATGTTTTAGACTTTGTGGGTATAACAGAAAAGCAGCCTTAGACAGCAAATCAGTAGGTATAGCTGTAGCCCAATAAAGACTTATTGGCTTTATTCACAGACACTGACATGTGAATTTCATGTAATTTTCAAGTGTCACAAAATATCCTTCTTTTGATTTTCCCTCAGCCATTAAAAAATGTGAAAACCAAGCTGAAGCCTGTCCAAAAAGAGATGTTGGGTGGGTTTGGCCCATAGGCTGTAGTTTCTGACCCCCAGATAAAGGAGTCAGAGAAGAGCTCTCTGGGCAGGCGACATTTGGTTTGAAACCAAAATGAGAAATGGAATCAGATGTGTGAGGCTCTGGAGGAAAAGTATTCCAGGCAGGGGAAGCAGCAGATAAAAGGCCCTGAGGTGGAAGTGAGCCTATGTGTGTGGGGGAGACAGAGAGAGCCAGTGGGTAGAAGTGGAGGTAGTGCCAGCCAGGCTTTTTCCTGGAATTCAGCTCTGAGATTTGTGTATAAAGAAGCATTAAACAGTGGAATAATAAATGTCTCCCATGGACAGCAGAATTCCCTCTGCCTGGTGCATAATTGTGACCCTCTGGGAAACTGAATCTCACACTACATAACCTGGGAAATTCACTCAACTCACCCACTAGATTCTTGTTTGGTTGCTAGGTCCTGTTCAGCTCTTTGCGACCCCATGGTCTGCAGCATGCCAGGCTTCTCTGTCCTTCACTATCTCCTGGAGTTTGCTCAAATCATGTCCATCGAGTTGGTGATGCCAGTCAATGACCTTATCTTTTGTCGTCCCCTTCTCCTCCTGCCCTCAATCTTTCCCAACATCAGGGTCTTTTCCAGTGAGTCGGCTTTTCACATCAGGTGGCCATAGTATTGGAGTTTCAGCTTCAGTATCAGTCCTTCCAATGAGTATTCAGGGCTGATTTCCTTTAGGATTAACTGGTTTGTTCTCCTTGTTGTTCATGGGACTCTCAAGAGTCTTCTCCGGCACCACAGTTCTAGACTCTCGACTTCCCTTATGTCCTTATTTCCAGAATGTAATTAGGGACAAACTCTCCTAAAATCCCTATGTGGTATATTTCATTATTAAACTAAAGTGAACTAAAATCAATTCTATTTTGACTTTAAACTTTTTTTTCATGAAGTTCCTTGAGGTAACTGGAAATACTTTGGGTGTCAAAAATATCCCGAGTTTGGAGATCATTGGTCTGCAGAAATACAGTTCATGCTTAATAATTAATTAAAAATGAACATCTCAGCTTAGTTCTTGGTGAATTTAGTGGTTCCTCCCCAGAATTATCTAGCCTTCAGGGCCACTCTTTCTCTTAATAACCAAGTGTTCAGAGTTCCCATCTAGAGGATGTTTACCTGTGTTCACAGCAACAGCTATGATTCCTGGGTTGGGGATGCACCCTCTTCTTGTGATATGGTCCACAGATCAGCTGACCTCACCATCTTCTTTGGGCATTAGCCGTTGTCCATGGCTTCTTGCAATAGCTTTTGGTGACTGATTCACTGCACCCTAAAAATGCTCCCTTGCTTTTTTCATTTCCCCCAAATGCTGCCAAAGAAATTATTTTCTGTGTGGCGGTGGAGGATAGGGGCAATGGCAGCCAATTCTAGTTCACTGAAACTTAAAAAAAAAATGTTTTTTTTGGCCACACCCCAAGGTTGGAAAGATCTCTTGGAGAAGGGAATGGCTACCTACTCCACTGTTCTTGCCTGGAGAATTCCAGGGACAGAGGAGCCTGGTGGGCTACAGTCCACGGGGTTGCAAAGAGTCAGACACGACTGAATGGCTAACACTTTCACTTTTACTTTTTCACAGCCTGCAGGACCTTAGTTCCCCAACCAGCGATTGAACCCTTGCCCTTTGCATTGAAAAGTGAATTCTTAACCACTGGACCACCAGAGATGTCCGAGTTCACTGAAATTTGAAGTTGGATCCTGGCCCTAATTGTTCTTAAAATCCCACTGACATTCGCTGATGGGGAATTTCAAATGTCTGAACAGAGTAGTAAAGTTCTCTGGGAATTTAGAGAAGAGAAATTATACTGCTGGCTGAGGAGATGAGAGAGGGCTCCAAGGAAGAGGGAATATTTGAGCTCAGTTTTTAAGGTTGTGTTTGGAAAGAAAAGGATTAGGGGAAAGGCATCCCAGCTGTTGAGAAAGTCCACGAGAGGAAAGATTTGGAGACCATTAGGGAAGCATATAAGAAAGGACAAATGGTTTGGGTTGGCTCATGTACGCAGTAATAATCAATAAGGAAGATAAGGATTGTTACTGGCAGTAATAAAAGAATCAAATGTATTTATTTCAAGTTAGTAACTAAACTAAAAATGAAACTATATTTTGTGGTCTTAGTATTAAAAAATAATCTGCATTTCTAACTAGTTCCCGAGTGATGCTGAGGCTGCTGGTCCAAGGAGCCGCACCATGAGTAACCAAGTGGTGGACATCCGTCATTGCCTATGTATAGTGTAGCATCTCATAAGCAGAGGGCTCTCAAAAAATGGCTGTTGAATGAATTAATGGATGCAAAAAGAGGTCCTGACATCAAAGATATTTTTGACTATCATTTACCACTGCACAGGCTTTTATTTATTTACTTTTTAATCTATGTTTTGTCTTTTTTGCAGATGACTCTGTTTCATGGGTCAGTGCAGAAAACTTATGGATTTTGGGCAGATACATGGTTCACCTATCCTTTGAAGAAATTATGAGAATTAGTCCCATCGAAGTAAGTTTGAAAAGTACATTTACATGTCTCCATCATCAGTACATCTGAAGTAAGGTGTGTTCTGGACTTCCCAGGTGGCGCTAGTGGTAAAGAACCTGCCTGCCAATGCAGGAGATGTAAGAGACGTGGGTTTGATCCTGGGTTGGGAAGATCCCCTGGAGGGGAGGGCAATGCAACCCACTCCGGTATTCTTGCCTGGAGAATCCCACGGACAGAGGAGCCTGGCGGGCTACAGTCCATTAAATTGCAGAGTCGGACACGACTGAATCGACTTAGCATGCACACAAGGTGTGTTCTAAACCTCTTATGTTCAGCCAGTCAGTCGAGGTGCCCTGGAAATTGAATACTCACTTTAGTTCAATATAACTTGAGCATCTAAAGAAAACTCCTTGAATAAGGACTCAGGCAGGCAGTCGCTGGATTGTGTTCTATTGTAGAAGAGTTATGAGAACAGAAAGAATTGTGGACAGCTAAGACAGTTCTGTTGTCAACAACATGATCTAAAGAGAAGGTTGGCTATGAACCAAAGGTCATTTAAGGGTAGTTTTGAGCTCAAGAAATGCTAAGGATTGTAGCTATAGAGTTTACAGTCATTGGAAGCACAAACCCAAATCAAAAGCAACATGGATTAATTGCTACTTCTATTTATGGCTACTTCTATTGGTAGCTACTTCAGCATGAGCGATGACTGGACTTTAAAGTTTACAGTGGAGAAGTGGACATATTCATGGTGCTTAACTCCTTACTCAGGAATTACTCTCTTTTTCCTGATGTGGTCTGATGATGCTAAAATTCCTTGGGAAGCATGATTCCAGAACACAGCCTCCAAGGAATGCTACCAACAGGGGGCTTTTTCATAAAGAGTTTGGGGCTTGCTACCAGGGTTACCCTATGTGCCCTAACTTTCTCCTGGCCCGTGAAAGAAGTATTTGCATCAAACGACTGGCCTGTTCAAGGACTGACTGACCCAACCATGTCTAGTTATTATGAAACCGGAGGTAGAACTAGGTTCCTCTTTCTTTAAAAAAAAATTTCCTTATTTGGCTGTGCCAGGTCTTAGCTGGAGTATGTAGGATCCTTAGTTGTGACATGTGGATCTAGTTCCCTGACCAAGTTTTGAACCTGAGCCCCCTGCATTGGGATCATGGAGTCTTAGCCACTAGACCACCAGGGAAGTCCCTGGGTTCCTCTTTTTACCTGACAGGCTGGGAATATTTCAGATGTTTCTCAGTTTTGTAACCCTCTGTTATAAAATGGATTAGATCTCCATTTTACTTTTTCAAAGTTGAGTGACTTTCAGAAAGTCGATAGAGGTTAAATTCTTAGGAAACTGGGCCCCTAGCAGGGACTTCTTGAGATCCAGGGGCTGTTCACAACATTTCTTCATCTTCTAAACATGTAGAGAAGGGAGGTGAAGCCACAGAGGGAATTTCTTATGGATGAAGAGCACAATCTGTGAGGGACGGACAGCTTTATGAAATCTTTAAGTGAAGAATAACAGTGCATCAGAATATAGGAGACCTCAGTGCGACACTCTTGGACACACAGGCAAAAAGTGAACAATAACAGAAAGAATCTGAGAAGTATATTTAATAAAGTTGAATGCATTATGTATATATTTGCATAATGTGTGTTAAATATTATGTAAGCATGTATTTACATACATATTATATACATATATCCAACTTTATATCTTACAGAGAGAACACATTCTTTTTTTAAATCACCTGTGGGTCATTTACAAATGGATTTATCTATTAAAAAAATTCTGATTCCCCAAAGCAAACAATTTGTGGACCACATTCTCTGACCTCAATAAAACAAATCTAGCAATAAATGTACAAATATTAGCTTGAAAAAAGTTCAACTGCTCATATATTAAAAAAAAAAAAACTTTCCTAAATAACAGTTGGATTGTAGAAGAAACTGAAGCAGCAGTTACAGACCATTAGGAAATCAACGTCACTTACAGTTACCAAAGAGAAAATGGGATGAAGGATCAATTAGGAGTTTGGGATTAGCAGATCCATGCCTCTATATGTAAAAAAGATAAACCACAAGGTCCTACTGTATAGCACAGGGAACTATATTCAATATATTGTAACAAACGATTACAGAAAAAAAAAAAAAGAAATCAGTGAAAATGAGGAATGGGCATCTCCGGGTGTCTGGGGGTGGGGCGCAGCCCAGACCCCTGGGGCGGGGCTTCACAGGGCTCCTGCAGCCCCCACTGATCTTCCTGGCCTCCTCCACCAGATTGGGCTGTTTATCAGCTATGACAACGCTACCAAGCAGTTGGACACGGTTTATGACGTCACACCTGAACTGGCCCAGGCGTTTCTGGAGAGGATCAGCTCCTCCAACTTTGACATGAGGAATACCTCTACCATCCACAGGCAAGGGGCATGGGCGCTGGGCCCCCGGAGCTGTTTCCCATCTAAGCATCAGCTTCCTCTGAGCGGCAAATGACCCGGGGAGGGGAGGGAGGTGGCCGATCCATCTCTTGGAATCGTCCCACGTCTCTGTGCATGTGAGGGAGGTGTTTCCCCGAAGAGACCCCTTTAAAGAGGTTATGAAGTGGAGAAGAAAACAAATGCTTTTAAAGCCTCTCCTATGTGCTAACATTTTACACAACCTTATCAAGTGCTAATATTCCAGCTCCGAGCACAGAAGTGGAACTTTTTACATACTTGGTATTCCCCCTATTCCAAGTTGTAAATGTATCATTTACAATTGGTTGGGTCGAGTATTGGAGATAGCTCACAGGCTTCATATTTGTGAATCCCTTGTCTAGACCCTCAGGCGGGGAGCCCTGGCGTGAGGTCAGCTCAGATTTAGTGGTTGTAACATGATCCCCAGGAACCGGAACTGTTTCCAGCTGGGGAGGGCCAGGAGCCGTGTACCTGGTAATCCCCAGAAAGGGTTTGGATGTCGGGGGTAGTTGTGCGGTGGGGAGGGGTGGTGGGCACCGGTCACCCATCCTCTCTCCATCTCCCAGGGTCTTACTGTCACAGACCTTCCTCTGACAGTATCATATGACCTTACATTTTCCAAAGTCACCTGCAGAGAATATTCTCATATAAAACTCTTACACCCTCTTCCCCTGTCCTTAGTAATTTTCACCCAATAGCATGGGCCTTATTTTTTCTAGTCAGTTCAGTTCAGTTCAGTCCCTCAGTCGTGTCGGACTCTTTGCGACCCCATGGACTGCAGCACGCCAGGCCTCCCTGTCCATCACCAACTCCTGGAGCTTACTCAAACTCATGTCCATCGATTCGGTGATGCCATCCAATCATCTCATCCTCTGTTGTCCCCTTCCCCTCCTGTCTTCAATCTTAGTTACACAAAAAATAGCTTAGTGATTAAGAACATGGGGTCTGGAGCCAGAAGTCCTGGGTTTGATCCTGTCTCTGCCACTTGCAAGTTGTGTGATCTGCACCTCCCTCTGCCTCCACTTCCCCATCTGTGAAATGGGAGCTAATAAGCTGCCTATTTCATTAAGACCCTTGTAAGGATTAAGCACATTTGCACACAGAAAGTGCTCAATAAACATTAGTTATTCTTAACATGGTTATTAATATTTGGTCTTCACTTCCTCTGAGTATTTTTTTTTCTCCTTAGACACACTTTAAAATCCTTTCCCCGAGCTGATTGCTTTCCTGGGGACATGTCTGAGAGTGTCAGTGTTTGATCATGGTCAACTAGGTGGTCCAACCATGCTAAGTCAAGTAGATTCCATACTAATACTAAGAGCATCCATTTCAGAATAAGTGCTTAGCATCTACCAAGAAGTATGCTAATCAACTGGTATGCATCTTCTCATTTAGCTCCCACAATACTCCTCATTCCTTCATTCATCATATTTATTCTGACATGCTATGATGAGCAAAGGAAACCTCCCGATTAAAAGCTTAGGGAGGCAGGGTTATAGTAGAGTGCACTGCACAACGGTGTAGCTTGCAGAGAAGTGACTTGCTGGAGGTCAGATGTCTCACAGAGCTGAGCTTCAAATTCCAGTTGGGGGTGAAGTTCTGTTCTTAACCAATAGATGCAGTGCTTCCAGCTGGACCAGGGTTCAGATCTCATCTCTGCTCCTACACTGTTCTCTCTCTGTCTTTCTATTTTCTTTTGAAGCGTCATCATCTAGGGGTGTTGGTTGTAAAGCATCCTGGAAATAAACTTCTGCCTCAGAAATCCCTCAGGGTGGGCAAATCCCTTATCTCTGTGTGGATAAGGAATGCTTTCCTGGTGTCCCTTAATGCCCCAGGAGGAGAGACGGCTTAGTTGGATGGATCTAGATCTAAGGCCCGACACCAGTTGCCTTAATCTGAGTCTCAGTTTACCCTTCTGTGAAATGGGGCTGATGAGCACTTAGCTTGCAGGGTTGTGATGAGATAACCCAGGTTACAGGGCTCAGCACAGATCCTGGTGCTCAGCAGCTGCTGTGATTGTGACCTTGTGGCTCTAACTGGAGTGGAGTCTGGGTTGTGCCCCCCACCCCGCCCTCCACCAGCACCCCTTATCTTCTTACGCAGGCTGGGGCTGCTGGTTTGTTTCTACGATGACCTGGAGCTGCTGGACGCTGCTGTGGCCCAAGTCCTGCTCCACCAGATGATCAGATGCAGCCACCTGAGGGGCTTCCAGGCTGGTGTTCAGAAGGTGCCGAAGTGCTCTGAAGCCCCACGCCCTTGGCCTCAGTTTCACTAGCCAGAGAAATGGGAAGAACAGTCCTGTCTGCCCTTTGAGAATCGAGATCGAGTGAATCGAGACCAAGGTCCAGCCACAGCAGAAACACTAGGATGAGCTTAAAGTAGGGAGAAACACCAAAAAACTGTAGGACAAGCTTGAATAGGTCAGAGTTCAGAGTGGCCACCTCAGTGGCATGAGGTTATTTGGGGATCTTAAATGCAGATTTAAGGTCTGGGTGGGGCCTGAGACTGCATTTCTAACAAGCTTCCAGGCGATGCTGAAGCTGCTTGGCTGGTGACTGTGCCTGGAAAAGAGAGGAAATAAAGCAGAACTCAAATCTGGTTCTACTAGTGTTACGTCCCTTCCCCTTGCTCTACCTTCAGAGATTCTCAAGTTATTGGTCTGGGGTTTGGCCTAGATATGGTATGTCTTCAAAGCTATTCAGATGATTCCAATGTAGCCAGGGGTTACTGAGTTCCTAGACCAAGGTTTTGGGCAAATTGGCACATGGGGACTATCTCATTTCCACCCCCGCCCTGACTCCATCTCTTTCTCTCCATTATTTTTGTTTTCCAGGAAAAGAATCCTTCCCAAGCAAGCTCAAGCAAAAATAAGAAAATAAGTGTAGTTTGGGGCCACAGGGACAGTTGTGACCAAGAAGAAAGTTGGGTGCGATTAGATATGAGAGAACCCTTTGGCTTATTTGGGTCAATAGTTCTTACCCGGAGGGTGCATCAGAATCAGCTGGAGGGCTTGTTGGAAACAATAAGATACCTTCTTCTGACTCAGGAGGGCTGGGGTGGAACCTGAGATGCTGCATTTCTAACAACTCCCCAGGTGATGCTGAAAGTACTGGTTAAGCCCCAAACTTTGGGAACCACTGCTCTAGGCCTTTTACAGGTGTGGAAGCTGATCTCTAGGGAAGGGGAGCTGCTGAGTTTGGAGAAAACCAGGAGCTGTGACAGCGGTCTCTTTCACTTTACTCTGCTGCCCCCCAGTGGCCATCTGGAGTACTTCCGTACACGCCTCTGACATCATTATATGGTTCATGCAAATTCAGGTGTTAATTCTGCTGTTGTTTTTTTTTGTATAGAGGTCACGTTACAACAGATAAATTGATCACCTTCTTTACTGAAAGCAGTTGGGAAACACACTTGATTATAACTGGACAGGCATGTTATAAAAAATAAGGGAATCACAAAAACGTGAAAACTTGTAAGACATAATTTTAAATAGAGCAGAAAATTGCACTTCTGTTCGTGTTACACCTATGTAAAGACTAGATACCATAGTTTATTTATATAGGCATAATAAATTTTGGAAACATAAACACCTAATTACTAACCATAGTAATTTTTTTGAGTTAGAGTTTTCAGGAGACTTTTACTTTCTTGTTACTGTTGAGAATTATTTTTACACATTTATATATTATTGTGAATCTTCCCTGGATATTTCATAAAAGAAAAGCAGCCATATAGACAGGATGTAGAGTTCAAGGTCACAAGAAGAAAATAGATGCTACAGGACTGTGGCGGAGTTATGAGTGGACAAAATTTCCTTCTGCCATGCTTTAAGGTTGATTTAATAATAAGTTAATATTTAAATGAAACATAGAGTGAATTTGCGGCAGAGGAAGGTCAAGGCCAGAGGAGGTGGCATTTTCAGTGGGGTGACTCATGGTCTGGTCTCAGCAGGAGCCCCCTTCCTTTTGATGAGGGAGGGAGGGGGAGGGTGAATCCTGGGGTGTGGTCTCAAGGAACCACCGTCCTGCTTGCTGTCGACTCTCATCCTGGCTTGCTCCCTTTCTAGCTCAAAGCTGAGCTCCTGGAAATTGCCACGGAGAACCAGACCCTCAATGAGACTCTGGGCTCTTTGTCGGATGCGGTCGTGGGCTTGACCCACAGTCAGCTGGAATCCCTCTCCCCCGAGGCTGTGCACGGCGCCATCTCGACCCTCAGCCAGGTCTCCGGCTGGGCCAGGAGCCAGATCATCATCTTGTCTGCCAAATACCTGGCCCACCAGAAGGTCAGTTGGAGCTTTGGACTCTGTTTTAATGGCCCAAGACCAAAGGGCTGGTTATAGACCTACAGCAGGGGCAGCCAATCGGTAAGAGGATGGTGCCGAGGAAGGCTACGTGGGTGCAAATCCATGGTCTTCCATGTGCGACAGTGTCTGCTGCGTGACAGTGGGGAACCAACAACTTCTCCTTGCCTCAGTTTCCCTCTTTGTAAGATGGGGATAACAATAGCACCTGTTCCATAGGTTTATGTGACTCAGTACACAGGAAGAGGTTGGATAACACGTGACCTGGAGTCCAAGCTCAGGAGTGTTAGCTATCACTGAGTTAGTCGTTTAACCTTCCCAGCAACCCTGTAAGGTCAGTAATGTTATAAGCTCCATTTTCCAGGTCATTCATGTGAAGCACAGAGCGTATAAGGGAACTTGCAAGGCCACATGAAAGGAACAGGCCTGGGATTGAACCCAGGGCATCTGGCTTCAGAGCCCACTTGCTTCATTGCCAGGCTGACTGCCTCCATCATGGCACCAGGCCCACTGCCCACTCATTTTTCTTTCTGACTCAAAGCTAAGGGTAGACCATCCATCTTGTCCCTTTAAGACTTCTGGAGACTTTAGTGTGAAGGCTTTGCAGACCTTCTGTTTTGACTGGGGCCCCCGAAGTCCACTCTGTGAATGTGATTTTAGAGAGCTGAGGGGGACAGTCTTGTTCCTCCCAGCTTTGGGCCGAGTGGCTTTTCTCTTTCCTGTCGTCCAACTCTTCTTGTAGAGGAATGAAGCGACTTTTGCTAAGAAGCCAAGTGCTCAAAAGCCTTTGCCGTCCTTAAGGACAGTTAAGAGACTGTTCATTCTACAGGGAATAGCTCAAGGAAACCACTCAACTGGGTTCTTTTTTTTTGAAGAACCAAGAAATGTCTGATTATATTACATTTAGCCTCTTTACTCCAAAGGAGGGGTTGGGAAACAGGCATGATTTTTGTAAAGGTGGCCAGCAACAGTCATATATTTTTATATATATATATATATAAAATATCAGACTCACATCCTAAAATGCTTCTTTATTTCATTGCAAAGCTTCCACATGAAGATAGATGAGTGCAGGGCTTTGCTGTGTTAGTTGCCTGATGGGTGACTGAGGACAGCAGGCTTCTCCTGGTCCCATGAGAGGGGTGGGCAGGGTAAACAGAGATGCCATGACCCACCCGAAGGTTCTTGCCCATTGTTGCCACTGCAGGTACTGCCTGATGTTCAGGTTTTTTTTTCTTTAAATAAAGCAGAAACTTTAATTTGGATTTTTATAGGATCCCCCCCAACTCTTAAATCTCATCAGCTAGATTGGATTATACACAGAAAAGCCCGTTGCCTGGTCAGCTGTGGCATATGGGTCACTGTGCTGTGCTGTGTCGCTCAGTCGTGTCTGATTCTTTGCGACCCCATGGACCGCAGACCACCAGGCTCCCCTGTCCAGGGGGTTTCTCCAGGCAAGAATACTGGAGTGGGTTGCCTTGCCCTCCTCCACGGCTATTTTATTAATTCTGCTGTGGCCTCGGATGGCATAGGGATTACCCCAGCGGCCCGGTTAACCTGTGTGTTGTGTTTTGATACTTAAGTCTCTTTCCTGATGGAAGGAGGAGGGTCTGGGAGGGCAGCTCGTGTCTTGCTCACAGTGGTGCAAGTGATGCCCCAGCGCCCATCCCGACGCCCAGCCTGCAGTGGGGCCTGGTAAACGCCCTTGAGGTGCAGCCCCGAGGCTGGTCCTCACCCTCCCTTGCCGGCGGCCCCAGGTGCTGTCCTTCTACAACGTCAGTCAGATGGGCGTGCTGCTGGCTGGGGTCGGCACGCAGGCCTTCCACGCCATGGACCGCAGGGACCTCATGCAGCTCCTAAGAAGCGCCACCTCCCTGCACGTGTCCGACTTGTCGCCTGCCCAGCAGCACGGTGTCCTGAGCAAGGTGAGAGGAAGACGTCTGGTCCGCAGCCCTTGGGGCTCTCAGGGGTGTGGTTTTGGGACTTTGTGAGGGGGCTTTTGTCTTTGGGTGGGGTTGTTCTGAGCCTGGAGAATGCCTTCTTCTGATGCCCACCTCCCGTTCTTTCCAGAACGTGCCCTGGGGTCGAGCCTGATTCTCCCCAGACCCTGGTGCTGTCCCCAGTCAGCTGAATCCAGAACACTTTTTTCAGTTGGATTTCTTGCTGTCATAATGTTTTAGGGGTTTGGTTCTCAAATGTGGAAATGAATCCTGAATTCCCCTAGTGCTTCAGAAAGGCCCTCCTTTCCTGTTCCAAAGCCAGGCCCACATTTCTCTCTCTCACTTGCAGTGGGTATTCTGGGCATCCTATCCCGTTGGACCTGCCATGTCTAATTGCACAATCTGCTAAGAAAGCAACTCAAAGGGTTGGGCCTAAAATACCAGTACCTTGCAGATAGCTGTAGCTCTTATGGTTAAAGGGTGTGGGTTTTGGAATAAGGCAGAATTGGGCTTGAATCTTATGTTATCAACTTACTTGTTAAGCTTTGGTTTTCTTACCTGTAAAATGGGGATAAGGACCATCCCCACCTCATTGGGTTGCTGAGCAGACCTGGTGGGATTTATTGCCCCTGAAGCACCTGACTGACCCAGTGCCTGGCCCTCCCCCAGCGCTCAGTCCATCTTCTGCCAAGTTGTTACTATGTTTCTTTTCACTCTTGACAGGTGATGGAAGCAGAAGATACTGCCTCTGGCATTGTTGAAATACAGGGGCCTTTCTTTAAGGAAGTGTCTCTCTTTGATTTATGGAGGGAACCTGGATTCAACTCCACAGTCCTGAAGGAAAAGAAGATCCGGAGGAGTCAGGTACGACTGCAATGCCCAGAGGTGGTGCCTGGGGTTCTGATTGTCTTGTGGGAAAGGTCTGTTCTAACTTGGTACTTGGTAAAACAAATTTATTTCTGTGTGATTAAACTCATGAACTTGGGCAAACTCCGGGAGATGGTGGTAAGGGACAGGGAAGCCTGGTGTGCTGTAGTCCATGGGCTCGGGAAGAGTTGGACATAACTTGGTAACTGAACAACAGCAACGAACTGCGGAGGCAGAATATTGTTAAGTTAGATGAGACCCAAATGTGAATTCCAGGGCTACTGTTGATTAACTTTGGGGTCACTGCTTCTTCTCCCATGGCCTCAGTTTTCTCATCTGCAAAATGGGGCTCATTTCTCACGAGACTCTGCTGGACATGCACTGTACATGAGAGCATCTACTACTGGGGCCTCCTGGGGAGAGTTGTGCTGTGGAGGCCCTTCAACTTCCTCGACTTGCCTTCATTCATTCATTCATTCATTCATAGTGTTTATGGAGCCCCTGGCCACTTCTCTCCCCTCTCAGGTGCCAGGTGCTGTTCGTGGTCCCGGGGACACGGAAGTGAAGGGAGCTTCCTTCCTATAAGGGAGACAGTATGGAAGATCCGTAGTTAAATGTATGCCTTGCTGCCTGTTGCCTCTTCTTCTTTTTTTCTTTTTGGTCCCTCTGCTGGGCTTGTGGGATGTAAGTTCCCCAATCAGGGATCGAACCTGGGTCTTTGGCGATGAGAGCGTGGCATCCTAGCCACTGGACCTCCGGGGAATAAATGTGTGCCCTGTTAGATGATAGATGCTGATGAGTGCTAAGGAGACAGTAAGCCAGGGGAGGAGGCAGGGGTTCTAGAGGGTGGGGAGTGAGCTGTTTAGACAGGCGACTGGCTGAGCTCAGAGAGGTTGAAGGGGCCATGAACTCTTAGCTGCAGCCTGTGGGATCTACTTCCCTGATCAGGGATCAAACCCAGGCACCCTGCACTGGGAGCACGGAGTCTTGGCCACTGGACCACCAGGGAAGACCCAGGAGATTCTTTATCTGTGGAACTTTCTAGCCCATCCTGGTCTAGTCATCTCAGTTTTACTTCCTGGAATGCTGTGTGTTCAGGAACCGGCAGGTGGGCATGAAATAGGGGCTGCAGGGGGTCCTCAACTGGGCCGGGGCTTCTCTGAGCACGGGAAGCAAACCTCCCGCTTCGCTGCCTTGACTTTGTTCCTCGTTTACCTCCTGGACCACCGGGGGTGTGAGAGTGTGGGCTCTGCAATCCCTGGATGCCAGCTCAAATCCCAGCTGGGCTGCTTAGCGACTGTGTGAAAGTGAAAGTGAAGTCGCTCAGTCGTGTCTGACTCTTTGGAATGCTGTGGACTGTAGCCCTCCAGGCTCCTCTATCCATGGATTTTCCAGGCGAGAATACTGGAGTGGGTTGCCATTTCCTTCTCCAGGGGATCTTCCCGACCCAGGGATTGAACTCAGGTCTCCTGCATTACAGGCAGACTCTGAGCCGCTGGGGAAATCCTGCAATTGTGTGGTTCTAGGTAAATAACAAAGCTTCCATTTCCCATCTATGAAATGGGAGCATAGGACTCATGACGATGGCCCATGAGTGCTCCATCAATGCGGCAATCATTCTCTTCCCTCAGGCCTTGTTCCTGTTTGAGTTTCTGTCAAAGACGACCCGGAGGCCCGAGGAACTCCTGAGGTAAGCCTGGGGCTGACGAGCCTTCTGCAGTCTCTCTCTCCAGGAGCCTCGTTCCCCAGGAGGGAGAGCTGGACGTCCTGCCTGCAGTGGGTGTTGGATCAGATCTGCCTCCTTCTTTCCTCTTCCCTGCTGCCCCTTTCTCCCAGGCCCCTTGTCTCATTTTCTAGTGCAGGGCAGCTGCTCAAAGGTGTGACGTGCCCCCACATTGAGGCCATGAGCGCCGACTCCTTTCTGGCTCATTTCCAGTATTTCGAGAACAACTTCTCTCTGCTTTCACCGTATCAGGTACCATCGAAGCCCTCCCCTGCTGCTCATTCTCTCCCTACCCCGGTCACTGGGTGGATTAACTGTGGTGTCTTAAGATACTCGTGCCAGGATTACTGATGCAGGTGATGATATGGGGCCAAGTATTGAGCCAGCTTTTCTCTAATTTCTGTTTTAAAAGCGCCACATACCCATGCCTCTGTAGCCAGAGTCTCAGCAGAGGGGCTATTCTATACCCAGATGTGAACCTCAGATTTCAGTTGGAAAGTAGACCATTTTTGCACATTCACAATTATGCTCTCCTGAGAGTGCTGGTCACACTCTCATCCACCTTCCTACCCTTGCCAGTGGTAGCCTGGCATGGGAACAGTCCTCCAGGAGAATTTAATTTTTCATTTAGAACTTCACTTTCCAAACAGTTAAGGAGACTTTTCAATTCTTTGGGGAGACCAGAGGCAGTGCCTGATTTTCACTGTATCTAAGTAAGTGAAAACAGGCCTGGGGAGCAGTGTTGGGATTTGGAGTATAAGCAGTGAGCTGTATAGTGTCTGAGAGGGTGAGTACTTGGCTTGTGCATTTCAGATCTGAATGAAATGTTTCCAAGCAATAAAATTTTCTTTTTTTTCCCCTTCCATATATTTTAATTTTTTATTATCTTTTAAGATCTTTTAGTTTTTTCTCTTTCTTTATTAAATTATGGGAGTATGATAACACATTTCCAAGGAGACTTGGGAAATATAGAACAAAGTCACACACAGTTCCACTATATATTGTAATTATTTTTTAAAGTAGATAATTTCAGATTTTTAGTTGGAGTTTCTATAGCAAACTCTCAAAAATTAATAGAATGAATAGGCAGAAAGTTTATAGTAGACCTGAAAGGCATTATGAACCAATTCAACATAATTAAGATTTATATAATTTTCACACAACAGCAGGATACAGATTCTATTCAAGTTCTTGTAGACTATAAATTGAGTGCTGGTCACACTCTCATCCACCTTCCTACCCTTGCCAGTGGTAGCCTGGCATGGGAACAGTCCTCCAGGAGAATTTAATTTTTCATTTAGAACTTCACTTTCCAAACAGTTAAGGAGACTTTTAAATTCTTTGGGGAGACCAGAGGCAGTGCCTGATTTTCACTGTATCTAAGTAAGTGAAAACAGGCCTGGGGAGCAGTGTTTGGATTTGGAGTATAAGCAGTGAGCTGTATAGTGTCTGAGAGGGTGAGTACTTGGTTTGTGCATTTCAGATCTGAATGAAATGTTTCCAAGCAATAAAATTTTCTTTTTTCCCCCCTTCCATATATTTTAATTTTTTATTATCTTTTAAGATCTTTTAGTTTTTTCTCTTTCTTTATTAAATTATGGGAGTATGATAACACATTTCCAAGGAGACTTGGAAAATATAGAACAAAGTCACACACAGTTCCACTATATATTGTAATTATTTTTTAAAGTAGATAATTTCAGATTTTTATGTTGGAGTGTCTATAGCAAACTCTCAAAAATTAATAGAATGAATAGGCAGAAAGTTTATAGTAGACCTGAAAGGCATTATGAACCAATTCAACATAATTAAGATTTATATAATTTTCACACAACAGCAGGATATAGATTCTATTCAAGTTCTTGTAGACTATAAACCAGGAGACACTGGAACATATCCAGGGACAGAAAACAAGGTGCAAACATTTCATGTTCTAAAGGCATTGAAGCCATACAAGGTCTGTTCTCTTATCACTGTGGAATTGTTTTAGAAATCAATATTAAAAGATATTTGAAAATCAACCACATATTTTCACGTGCAATGTAACATTTACTGAGCAAGCTCTTTGACTTAGCCGTTGAAAACCTCAATAAAATTAAAAGACTGACAAAACAAGGAGGGTGATTGCAAAGAAGACAGCATTTAAATGAGAAAATTAATATCAAGGATACTTAAAAACACCCATGTATTTGGGAGCTAAATGTCCCACTTTCAAATAATGGGTGTATCTAAGCAGCCGTAACAAGGAAAATTAGAAAATATTTGCAACAGGACAAAAATGAAAAGAGAATTTTCTCCCCAGGAGCCAGGAAGGGTAAAGCCAACTATATAATCCTTTGACATCATTAGAATAATGTGCAGATTTTTAATGAAGCCTGTTATTCCCTTGGCTTGTTTATTCTGTCAGTGGTTCTCAAAGTCAGGCTTGCATCAGCACGTTTCAGTTTTGCCGGATGAGCGAGCTGTGATGTGCTATATGACACAGCGCCTGCAGTTCACAATATATCTGCACTTCACAATTTGCTAAGAGGGTTGCTCTCAAGTTATGTGCTCTTTTTAAAGAACCAAAACAAAGGGACTGAAGGACACTTTGGGAGATGCTGGGCATGCCTGTTACCCTGATTGTGGTGATGCCTGCCATCACGGGTGTTTGCATGTGCTTGACTTATCAAAGAGTATGCATTAAATATGTGTGATTCTCTGCATATCAACTATACCTCAGCAAAACTTAAAAAATGCAGAGTCCCACTTGCAGAGTTTCCCTGGGGCTCCTGGGATGAAGCCTGATACTTTTCATTTGAACAGTTTCCTGGTGAGAACCACTGAAATCTACAAAAAGCCTTGCCCAGGTAGGGCGGCAAGCAGGTAATTTCTGTAACCTGGACCTTGGCGTGGCTGTCTCCTTCCACTCATCCAACTGATGCAATGGATGGAGTTCAGGCCCGCTTTGAGAAAGACCTGCACATTCAAATAGGAAGAGATGTCCCCATAAACCTCCTTACCTGACTCTGCCCGGTTCTAAGAACCTTCAGATACAAGTATTTAGAAAATTTGCCTTTATTGTTTATCTTTTTGCTGAAAACACAGGATTATTATAAAACAAAACGATAGAGAGGAAGTAAAATTTCTCCTAGAGCATAGTTCTCAACAGGGGACCATTTGGACATATCTGGAAACACCTTTTTTCATCACACCTGGGGGAGATGCCACTGACACCTATTAGGTAGAGGCCAGGGATGCTACTTAACCATCCCATAATGCTGAGGACAGCTCCTGCAACATGGATTTATCCTGCCTCAAATGTCGGTCATGCGGCTTCAGAGGTATAACTACAGAGGAAGTTTGCTATGGACTTGGAGAATTTTTAGTATATCTAAAACATATCTACATGTAATTAAAAAAACACAAATAAGCTCCTACCATATACAATGTTCTGTTTAAATTTATATGATACACATACACATAAATCTACCATATGGAAACAAAATAGTTGCGTAGTATTCCACCATATGACTATACCATAATTTACTTCGTCAGTCCCCTAGTGATGTATCTTAAGGTCACATCTCGTTTGTAGTTATAAAAGAAACTGTGGTGAGCATTCTCAGACTTAAATTTTTGTGGGCATCTTGTTCTTGCTCCAGTTTCCTCATCCATAAACTTGGTGTAGTAGTGTTACCTACATCTTAGGGTGTTAAAGTGAACATATAAGTTAATAAGTGAATGTATTCAAAGCACTTAGAACAGTGTCTGACCCACAGAAAGCACAGTCTGTGTTTGGTCTTATTGGACTCAGTTCCTAGAACTGCTTTAATCTTTCAGGTTAACTGTTTGGCGTGGAAATACTGGGAGGTTTCCAGGTCCTCTATGCCACTCTTCCTCTTGGCTGCACTCCCGTAAGTGAACATCAAGTCCCCCTTTTTGGCATATGATTGGCAGGTGTCCCCAAAGCCAAAGTGATTCTCTCTCCCTAGGTGTCGGTGAGGAACTGGAGGCAAGTAGGGAGTGCCTTCAACAATTAAATCCTTGAGATCCGGCATATAAATTCTGAGCCCCATGTTCCTGTTTCAGGCACACTCTCTGGATTATTCTTGTTATTTAAAAACCAAAGCCAAAGCAATCTGAGCTTGAATGAGTGAATGCCAGTGAAGGGGGTCACATCTGGGCTGGCCTCACATCTGGGCTGGCCTCACAGCTGGGTCCAGGCTCCAGGGGAATTAGGACTAATGGGAACTGTGGGATTTCTCCTAAGATGTGTGGGTGTTCAGGCCTGGGGGGCAGCCTTGCTTTTTAAATATGGTCTGGACACAGTTTCTCTCTTTTTCTCTTTATTTCCCTCTTTCTTCTCTTGCTGCCATTGTCTTCACTGAATTAAAATTATTTGTCGAGTACTTACTACATACTAAGTTCTAAGAAGTAAGTTAATTTTCCCCTTATAAAAGCCTACAATCTCATGGAGGAAAAACAGACGAGCGTTAAGCCAACTATAATATCGAGTTGATATTTGGTTGAAAGTAACAGAACCTTCACTCAAACTGGCTTAGGCAATAAAAGGTAATTTTGTGTTCAGGAAAATCCAGGTGTGGACTCTAGGCATAGCTAGATCTTGGGGCTCAAATGAGAAGGCCAGAGAGGTCAGGGAGGGCTTGTGTGACACTCCGGGGTGTTTTGTATTCTGGGCACAGTTTTATGTTTCAGGGACATCATCATCGTGGTCCATAGAGAGGATGGAGTGCAGGGATCCTGGCTGGAAGGAGAGAGATAGTGGAGGCTTATTTCTATAAACTTGACCTTGGCATGATTGTCTTATCCACATATCCATGTCTTATTTCACATATCCATGTCTCAGCTCAAACAGTACTCCCTTCAGAGGGGTTCCCCTGGCTGTCCTCACACTTTCCTTCATGATAGAGCCATTTAATTTTCTTCCTTTCATTCATTACTAGCTTAAATAATCTGTTTCATTAATTGGTTTCTGTGTTTCTTCCCCCTAGAGAATCCTGAGGGTAGGGACCTGCCGCTCATGTCACAGCGCTTGGCATGCAGCATGTGTCCATGCTAAGTCATGTCAGTTGTGTCCAACTCTTTGCTACCCTATGGACTGTTGCCCACTAGGCTCCTCTGTCCATGAGATTCTCCAGGCAAGAAGACTGGAGTGATTTGTGATGCCCTCCTCCAGGCGATCTTCCTGATCCAGGGATTGAACCCATGTCTCTTTACATCTCCTGTGTTGGCAAGCAGGTTCTTTACCACTAGTGTCACCTGGGAAGTCCTGGCATGCCGCAGATGCTGTTTATATATTTGCTGAATGAATGAAAGTAAAGTGTGAAAGTGAAAGTGTTAGTTGCACAGTCATGTCCGACTCTTTGTGACCCCATGAACTGTAGCCTGCCAGGCTCCTCTGTCCATGGAATTATCCGGGCAAGAATACAGGAATGGGTTGCCATTCCCTTCTCCAGGGGATCTTCCCAACCCAGGGGTCGAATCCAGGTCTCCTGCATTGCAGGCAGATTCTTTACTGTCTGAGCTACCAGGGAAGCCCTCTGATTGAATGAATGAAGAAATAAATAAGACAGTGACATTAGGAATGGAGAGACAAGAACAGATTTGAGTATTATTGAGGAGCCTGCAAAGAAAGATTTAGGGATAAAGAGATGGAGGAGTCTTGGATGGCAGAGAGAAGGCAGAACATGTTTGAAAGGAGGAGGTTGAATTTGGTTTTGGAATAGTGAAGTGGCAATGATGCCACATGGGTCTTTCTCAACCTTTATTTCATTATTGCCTCCCAAAGGAGAAAAATTTAATTTTTCCATAGTGAGAGAAATTACAAGGAGTAAGATTGTGTTGAGTAGGGTTGAGCTTTGGCAGATCACAAATCACTGTAATAACTAATGTTCCCCATCCACATCCCTCCCTCTCCCTGAACCAGTTTCTACCCATCGGGGGAAATATTGCCTCCTATTGAGAATATAAGGTCAAGAGTTTGGAGGAGGGTTCTCAGCTCAAACAGTACTCCCTTCAGAGGGGCTTCCCTGGCTGGTCCCCACATCATCCTTCATGATAGAGCCATTTAATTTTCTTCCTTCCATCCATTACTAGCTGAAATAATGTTTTATTAACTGGTCTCTATGTTTCTTTGCCCTAGAGAATCCTGGGCTTGACAGAGTTGGGAGTCATTTCTCTCCCCACTCTCTCCTCATCCTTTTCCATCCACTTTCTATTTCATTTTTTTCTCCTCTTTGTCTCTCTCTTCTTCTGCTTTTTCATTTCCTTTCTCCTCCCCTCCCCTCCACCAGTCCAACAGGCAGCTTCTGTCTGTGGAGATCCTGTTCTCACATCCTGCTGTTGGGTCATGGAAGAGGAGCATGATGGGAAGCTTGTTTCCACCTGTGAGAGAAGAGAATTATGGGAAGTTTGTTTCCTGATAGTAAAAAAGAAAAACGATGGGTGGGAGGCTTGCTCCCTGCTCAGAGGAGCCAGGACATCACTGGGGAGAACCAACACTTAAGGATCAGCTCTGTAATGAGCTCCTGGGCAAATACAGAGCAGCCCCTGTCTTCCTTCCCTCATCCTCCCTATCTCTCTCCAGGGCTCGCTACCTGGCTTCTATCCCTGGTTCTCGGTGTGTGCCCTTCCTGATCAGCCTGGGGAAGAGTCAGCTGGACTCCTTGGTTTTGGATTTCCACAAAAAAAATTCCATCCTCAAGAAAGTGCAGCAGTGCCTGGTAAGGAATCTCTTCCTGGGTGACACTTTGACTCGTGTCCCTTCCCTGTGGGCATCCTGGGGAATCCTCAGAGGAGCTGGCTGGGTTCTCAGGTCTGATGTGATGGCTGGAAGTCTGATCTCTGGGTCTCAAAGCTGGCTCTGAAACCACTGGGTGGGACACTCTTGGCCATTGGTTCTGGGGGACTTCCATTCTGGGGCCTGAATGAGGGGAGGCCACCCCGGAGGACTGGAAGGAGCACAGTACAGAGTCTGGGCTCTGGACAAGTCTCTGCCAGTGATTGGTTTTGTGGCTTTGGACAGGTCACTTCTCATCCTTGAACCTCAGTCTCCTCATCTGTAAAATGGGTACAGTAGCACTTTCTTCATAGAGCTCTTGTGGACATGAAATAGGTTATATACTGTTTAATGCAAAGGCTCAAAGGGCCGAGCTGGCAGTTCCTTTATCTTGAAAAAGTGTATGATATTAGTACTTATACAGTTACTTTGAAGATGAATAGAGTAAGACCTGGAAACACAACAGTGCCCAGCACATAGTAAGCTCTGAATAAATGTTAGCTATTTTTGTCATTTTGAGAAAGAGCTTTGGAGGCTTCCAAGGGCCTATAAACTTGAGAGTACTGTTTTTATTATTGCTCTACTCTCATCCTAATGGGTACTGAACAAGGGGGTATCCTCAGAGCAATAACAGTGACAGTGACCTCAGCCTCAGTGAGTGAGTGCTCATGATGGACGAGCCTTCTGCCCACACCGGCCCCCCACTCCGTGTGGTCGCCCAGACTTCTGAGGCCTACTCCCTTGGGGTGAAATTAGGCCTTGTGTGAGTCCATGGTAGGGTAGGTGGTTTGGATCCTGGAACCTTGATGAGGTTTGGGGTCAGGAAGTGTTTTATGGGATCACGATCTGGAACCCCACCGGGCCTTTCCACCAGCTCCACTTGTCAATTTCAGAGCCACACCATTGCTGACGAGTACGCCGTGGACATCCTGGGGAACTTGCTCTGTCACCTCCCGGCAGCCGTCATCCACCGCGGGTTGTCCCCCAGAGCCTGGGCCACAGCCCTGCGTGGCCTCAGAGACTGCCTGGACCTCAGTCCCCAGCAGAAGGCGGCGGTGAGGCTGAGGCTCCTGGAACAGCATGGGTGAGGAGGGCTCCGGGCTCGGCTCCGAGGCTGGGGTGGGGCTGCTGGCGAAGGGCCCCCAGCCCTAGCTCTTCCACCTCAAAGCAGAGTCTCTAACTCGTGATGAGGTTAGACCCTGGGATTTATTCTGGAAGCTTGACCTTTCTTCTTTTGGATTCAGATTCCCTGTAAGTGAGAATGATAGCTTGTCTGCAGGCCTCACGTGGTTGTCACCAATACATCTTGGCTTATGGAAAATGGAGTCTCAAAAAAGATGGCACTTTATGGGACTTCTCTGGTGGTCTAGTACCATGCTTTGAAGGCAGGGGAGTGGGCTCAATCCCTGGTTGGGGAACTAAGATCCCACATGCTGTGAGATGCAGCCAAAAAATAAACTTTGAAAAAAAAAGATGACACTTTACAAATGCAAGGAGGTCTTATTGTTGTTGTTAAAATAACGACAACAATAATAATGCAAATAACTGAGACACTGTCAGCTCTGGGTGAGTGAGAACTTCCTGGGGGAAAACAGAGCTGTCCTTTCCCATGCAGAATTTTCTGAAGTTAGGTCAGACTTGAGTAGGGCCTAGACATCAGTTAATGGTTAGACAAGAAATGTCTTTGGAGTAGTTGCTGTGGTCCAGGCACTTAATATTACATAGAGTTTAAGAGCCAGGACTTGGGAACCTGAGTCCTTGGGTTAAATTTTTCTGTCATTTACAGCCTGTGTGATCTGGGAAAAGCTACTCAGTCTTTTTGCATTTTATTTTTGCTTCTGTAGGATGGGGGCAGTGAGAGTCCCCACAGAGGTGTTGATTAGCTGAGTTAATGCATGCAAAGGACTTACAACAGTGCCCTGCATGTAGAACTGAGTATTTGACAACTGATTTATCACAAGGAATGGAGATTCAGGAGATTCAGTTGTTATCATTTCATGTGTTATTACCTGTTGTCATGGAACTTACAGTCTAATGGGATACTGTTGTTAATGAAAGAGATAAAAGGAGGTTTTTTGGTTAGGGATGGTTTGCCTTGGTCCTAGCCAAAGGATTATCACTGCTAATTAGACAGATCTCCTTTAGCGATATCACCAGACATCCTTGAGAGATAGTGTGGGGTACGTCCCTGTAGACATTTGTGTCTCCATAAGAATAGTGTATCCTGGGTCAGTGCCAGGATCCTGGCAAGTTATTATTCTGCCAAGTTTGAGAGGAAATTTCATCTTGCCATAGGATGAGACTTATAATAGTAATTATATAAGGAATTATAAAAGTAATTATAGCATTACTTTTCTGTTGAGGAAAGGGAGGAAGGAAACACTCTGATGCAAATGAAAGAAATTCAGGAGCTCAATTCACGCTAAAAAATGGGAGTTGACCGAGTTTAGAAGTGAATGTGACTTCAGGCATGGCTGGATCCAGGGGCTCAAATGATGTCATCAGGAAAATGTTCCCCCCACCTCTCAGCTCTGTGTTCTTGGGTGTGGCCTTTATTTTCTCCATTTGGTGATAGTATTGGGCTGCAATATCCCTTTTATTGCTAGAGATACCAGAAGAAAGAGAGCTTCTCTCATAGTTCCGTCAAAATTCCCCAGGATGATTCTGATTGGTCAGCCTGCATTACATGTCATTTTCTTGGTTAGGGATGTGGACCACATGATTGACAGCTTCTCCAGGTATATGGATAATCTTTTCCTAAAAGAAAAAGATGCTGGGGGACAAGGGCAACAGCATGATCTTTCCACTGACTGCTTATTCTCTCTCCTAGACTGCCCCAGAACTGGACAGCCGAGACAGTGAAGGATTTGGGATCCTTTCTAGTGCTTTTCTCAGGAGATGAATTAAGCTCTGTTGCCACAAAGGTACCTCAGTGTTCTATCTTAGAGAAGGCTGAAGGAGTTTGAAGAAGAGAAAAGTGTGGTTAGTTATATTCCCTTGGGTTTGCTGGCAGTTTGTCTTTCTGGAAACTTCCACTCTGCCTCAGAGAGCTCAGATGTTTCCAGCTCCACTTCAGGATGCTCACGGTTCATGGAAAGGCCATGAGGCAGCATCTAAAGGAACTCTGAGCCTTTCACGTGGCTTCTAGGCAGATGTGCGTGACCTGGGAGCTGTCACTGGCCGCCACTCTGCTATCTGAGTGCCTCCCACATGCATGCCCATTGGAGGGCTCACACCCATCAGCACCGTATGTATACAACATGTGTGTCCAGTGTGTGCAGTCACATGGGCAAACATATTTGATCCAAAACCAAATCTTAATTGAGCATTGCCTTTGGGTGTAACACTCTCCTTGGAGCAACTCCCCAAGAGTTCGACAAGGCCAAGAGGTGTGCCAAATGATCATGTACTAGTCATCTCCTGCTGTGTAACAGAGCTGCACAATCTCACTGGCATGCAACAGAAAACATTTATTTTTTGCTGCCTGCTCTGTGGGTCTGGGACTATGAATTTGCTCTGGGGAATTGGCTACCTGGAGCCTGGTTTTCTTGCTGTGGAAATCTGAAACTCTACAGAAGGGAGGGCAAAGTGCAGTTCTCTTTAAAGCCTGGGCTGGGAAACTACTAACCATCACTTTTCACTGGCCGAAGTAAGTTATATGACCAAGTCCACCTTAGTGGGGCAGGAAATTTCCTCCATGCAGGTGGAGGGTGGAGTAGGAGGGGATGTGCTGAACAAGAGTCAGATAGACTGCAAAACACCTCCACACACTTTCATGCTCTGTACTCACACACGTAAGATGTACGTTGTCACACTTGCTCAGGGTGCCTGAATACCTGTGAATCTGTCACCCAGATTCACACATAAACAGCAACATTCCGGTGTCCAGTCATGGTAAAATCTTCTCTTGGGGTGTCCAAACCTAGAGTCATAAGTAGCAGATACGTATGTCTTCTAGGCTTATCTAACGTTTTTAAAAATCAACTTTTAAAATTGAAAAAGCTTTATATCAATATAGTTAAAGAAACACAATGTATGATTAAAAAAAACAGTTGCATAAATATATACAGTAGGATACTAAGTAAATAAATACTATTTAGATTAATTTTAAGCACAATCAAAACAATTCCATATGTAAGAGAAGTTTAAAAGTGCGTGAGAATGGTTTATTATCAAATATTGAATTTGTGGTGAGAGTTACTTCTGGGGAAGGAGGGATGCCTAGGATGAGCTATCGGTTATATTTGTGATGTTTTACTTCTTAATCTGGGTTGTGGGCATGTGGATGTTTTGTTGTATTATTCTTTCTTCTTTTTTTTCTGTCACTCAGTTGTGTCTGACTCTTTGTGACCCCATGAACTGCAGCATGCCAGGCTTCCCTGTCCTTTACTGTCTCCTGGAGTTTGCTCAAACTCATGCCCACTGAGTCGATGATGCCATCCAACCATCTCATCCTCTATCGTCCCCTTCTCCTCCTGCCTTCAGTCTTTCCCAGCATCAGGGTCTTTTCCAGTGAGTTGGCTCTTCATATCAGATGACCAAAGTATTGGGGCTTCAGCTTCAGCATCAGTCCTTCCAATGAATATTCAGGGTTGATTGCCTTTAGGATTGACTGGTTGGATCTCCTTGTTGTCCAAGGGACTCTTGAGCCTTTTCCAACACCACAGTTCAAAAGCATCAATTTTTTGGTGCTTGGCCTTCTTAATGGTCCAACTCTCATTTTTAGTTTTAATGACTGAAATTTTAATAGAACAAGAAATACATACTTGGGTTAGAAAAATCCCAAATACATCAAAGGCTACAGGATGTGAAGTTCCTGGCTCTGTGTTTCTGGGTTCCTAGCCTCTCTCATCAATGGTAGTTGCTCTTCCTAGATTCTTTTGCATCCTTTATAAAAAAATCCTCCTCCTCCCTTTAAAAATACAAAATGGAAAATACTGTGCTGTGTAATAACTGTTTATCTTAGAGCAGCCGCTCGTGACCTTAGCTGCATGTGGGAATCACCAGGGGACTAAAATGGACTGATACATGGCCCCACCCCAGACCAATGGTCTCAGAATCTCTAGGGTATGGCCTGAGTGTCTGTGAATTTCCCAGTAAATTTCCCACATAAATTAATGTGTGACTCTGATTCTGAAAATTAGAATAGAAGGAGGAACTACATATAACCTGGGTGACTTTTGGGACACACGCAACTGCAGGGGAGAGTTTGATGAATTCTCTGGACTCTTGGACAGATTTACCAATAATATCCCCAGTCTTGAAAAAGTGTATCAGCTCTGGATAAGAAATGGCACCTTTCTTAGGGTAACTAGAAGCCCCCTCATTGCTAGTCTTCACCTCAAACTCAGAGATAACTCTTTTCTCCTCCTTTTATACATATATATTTCAATGAAAATTAAATAACAGTACAACCCCAAAAGAGACAGGCATACATAATTTTTATAGATATTATCAGGTGGTAATGATGCACCATCTAATAGTCCCACAAAGAAATAAGTATGCATAATTCCTACATCTTGGCTAGCATTAGGTATTGTCACTTTATTTTATTTCTTACAATCTGATGGGTGAAAGCAATATACTTGAACATGTATTGGATTAGCACTGAGGTTGGATATCATTTTATATGATTCTTTGTAGAGACTAGGTTAGTTGGGCAAGGAATTAAATTTATATGAGAAGGTGCTACAAGCATACCTCAGAGATATTGTGAGTTGGGTTACTGACCACCACAATAAAGTGAGTATTGCAATAAATCGAGTCACGTGATTTTTTTTGTTTTTTTTGGTTTCCAAGTGCATACAAAAGTTATGTTTACACTATACTATAGTCTATTAGTGTGCAATAGTATTATGCCTAAAAAAAAATGTAAATACATTAAATAAAAAATACTTTATTGCTAAAAATGCTAATTATCATCTAAGCCTTCAGTGAGTTGTTAATGTTTTGCAGATGGAGGCTTTTGTCTCGGTGTTGATAGCTGCCGAATGATCAGGGTGGTGGTTGCTGAAGACTGGGGTGACTGTTTTAGTTTCTTAAAATAAGACAGCAACAAAGTTTGATGTGTCAATTGACTCTTCCTTTCACCAATGATTTCTCTGTAGCATTCGGTGCTGTTTAATAGGATTTTACCCACAGTAGAACTGCTTTCAAAATTGAAATTAATCCTCTCAAATCTTGCTGTTGTTTTATCAACTAAGTTATGATTCTGTAATATTCTCAATCCTTTGTTGTAATTTCAACAATCTTCATCCGGAGTAGATTCCATCTCAAGAAACCACTTTTTTGCTCATCCATAAGAAGCAACTCCTTATCCATTAATGTTTCATCATGAGATTACAGCAATTCAGTCACATCTTTAGGCTTCACTTCTATTTCTAGTTCTCTTGCTATTTTCACCACATCTGCAGTTACTTCCTCCACTGATGTCTTGAATACCTCAAAGTCATCCACAAGGGTTGGAATCAACTTTTTCCAAATCCCTGTTAGTATTGATGTTTTGACCATTTTTCTTGAATCGCAAGTGTTCTTAATGGCATCGAGAATAACCATCCTTTCCAGGAGGTGTTCAATTTATTTTGCCCAGATCCATCAGAGAAATTATCTGTGGCAATCATAATCTTAGGAAATGTATTTTTAAATAATAAGACTTTTAAAATAATAATAATAATAATAATTGAATAATAAAACATTTAAATAATAAGCCAAAATTATTCCTTGATCTATGGGCTACAGAATGGATGTTGTGTTAAGTATGAAAACAACATCAATCTCATTGCATATCTCCATCAGAACTCTTGAGTGCATTGTCAATGAACAGTAATATTTTGAAAGGAATCTCTTTTTCTGGGTAGTGGATTTCAACAGTGGGTTTGAAATATTTAGTAAACAATACTGCACTCAGATGTGCTGTCATCTAGGCTTTATTGTTCCATTTATAGAGCACAGACAGAGTATATTTAGCATAATGCTTAAGGACCCTACGATTTTTGAAATGGTAAATGAGAGCTGGCTTCAAGTTAAAAGTCACCAGCTGAATTAGCCCGTAAAGAGAGCATTGGCTGGTCCTTTCAAGCTTTGAAGTCAGGCACTGACTTCTCTTCTTTAGCTATGTGCGTCCTAGATGGTATCTTTTTCCAAGATAAGGCTGTTTAGTGTAGCCATCTTTGTTAATTATCTTAGCTAGATCTTCTGGATAACTTAATGTGGCTTCTGCATCAGCACTTGCTGCTTCATTTTGAAATTTTATGTTATAGAGAAGACTTCTTTTCTCAAACCTCATGGACCAACTTCTGCTAGCTTCAGTCTTTTCCCCTGTAGCTTCCTCACCTCTCTCAGCCTCTCAGCTCTTCACAGAATTGAAGGTTGGACTTTGCTCTGGATCAGGCTTTGGCTTAAAAGAATGTTGTGGTTGGTTTGATCTTCTATCCGGACCACTGAAGGGCTTTCCAGATGGTGCTAGTGGTAAAGAAACCAGCTCCCACTGCAGGAGACATAAGAGAAGCAGGTTTGATTCCTGGGTCAGGAGGATTCCCTGAAGGATGGCATATTGTGACCCACTCCAGCATTCTTGCCTGGAGAATCCCCGTGGACAGAGGAGTCTGGTGGACTATAGTCCATAGGGTTGCAAAGAGTCAGACACGACTGAAGTGATTTCATGTACACACCAGACCTCTAAAACTTTCCACATCAGCAATAAGACTGTTGTGGTTTCTTATCATCTCTGTGTTCACTAAGTAGGACTTTTTATTTGCTTCAAGAACTTTTCATTTGCAGGCACAATTTCACTTAACTGTTTGGTGCAAGAGGCCTAGCTTTCAGCTTGTCTCAGCTTTTGACATGCTTTCCTCACTAAGCTTAATCATTTCTAGGTTTTAAAGTGAGACTTAAGACTCTTCCTTTCATTCCAACACTTAAAGGCCATCGTCAGGTTACTAACTGACCTGATTTCAATATTGTTGTGTCTCAGAGAATAGGGAGGTGTGAGGAGAGGGAGAGAGATGGGAACAGCTCCTCCTCGGTAGAGCAGTCAGAACACTCCCTACATTTATCAATCAAGGTCACTGTCTGATAAGTGTATGGTTTGTGGTGCCCCAATTATAATAGTAACATCAAGGGTCACAAATCACAGATCACCATAACAAATATAGTAATGATGAAAAAGTGCGAAATATTGTGAAAATTACCAAAATATGACACAGAGAGAGCAAATACTGTTGACAAAGTGTTTCTGATTGATTTGGTCATTGAGTTACCACAAACCTTCAACATATAAAAAAATGCAGTACTGCAATGCAATAAAGTGAAGTGCAATGAAATGATGTATGCCTGTATAAAGAAAAAACAAAACAATGGAGGCAATGCAGCGGTGTTCCACTTTAAACTCTGATTTAGGTCTCTGTTTAATGTGTTTTAATTGTTACTCATTCCTCGTCGTTCATCTTTTCTGCCCCACATAGTTTCCTGACATCCTTCAACAAACAGCTTCCAAGATGGCCGGGACTCTGCCCCCTAAAGAATTCCTCCAGGCTGTCTTTGAATCTGTTCGGAACAGCAGTGTGGAGAACCCCAGCTCTGACCCCAGCCCTGGTGAGTGTTTCTGGGGTATCTGAGTCTGGGTCTGGTGGCAGTGTTTTGGCTGAGTTCCTGCCATCAAGTGGACTCCTTGTCCCAGGGACTGGATGCAGTGTTTGCAAAACAAGAAGAGGAGCAAAAATCCACTGGTAAAAATTACATCTTTGTAAAGTGATTTGAAATTGTATCTTGTGCTCCTCAGCCAGGCCAGTAGGTTTAATGGATGAACATGTGCAACAAACATTTCAGAACAATTGATTTAAGGGCCAAAATGGCTGTGTGCTATGAATTGCTGTGTTGGGGTCTGGCTGACTGGATTTGAATCCTGGGGCTGCTACTTGTGGGCTGTGTGACTTTGGGTAAGTTCCTTCACCTCCCTGTGCCTTAGGTTTCATCCTCTGTAAAATGAGGATAATGAAAGTTCCTACCTCACTAGATTATTGTGAAGACTGGTGGATTTAAACCTATAAAAGTGCAAGTGAAAGTCACTCAGTCGTGTCCAACTCTTTGCGAATCCATGGACTAAAAACTCCATGGAATTCTCCAGGCCAGAATACTGGAGTGGGTATCCGTTCCCTTCTCCAGGGGATCTTCCCGACCCAGGGATTGAACCCAGGTCTCCCGCATTGCAGGTGGATTCTTTACCAGCTGAGCTACCCAGGGAAGCCCCTAAAACCTGTAAACATGTCCACAACAGTGCCTGGCATGTAGGAAATGCTCAGTAAGTATTAGATATTAACAAGGATTATTGTACACCTATTAAGTGTAGACTTGTGCACGGCAGGAGGAGACAAAGTTAACCAGACCCAAGAATGGTTGTAATAATGATAGTTGACAGTCCGTGCTTACTTTGTTTCCTGCAACAACTAATTTTTGAGCACCGACTACGTGAACAAAACAGAAATCCCTGCCCTCATAGAGCGGAGCTTACTTTCAAATGGTGGTGGGTGTGGAGGTGGGGCGGTCACCAGACAACAAATTGCAGACATAAGTGAAATACAAAGTGTGTTGTGTGATAAGTATCAAGAAGGAAAATTTGTTTGTTTTCTATGTCTGTGTCTCTATTCCTGCTTGCAAACAGGTTCATCTGCACCATTTTTCTAGATCCCACATATGTGTGTTAAGAGACAATATTTGTTTTTCTCTTTTTCACTCTATATGACAGTCTCTGGGTCCATCTGTGTCTCTGCAAATGGCTCAATTTCATTCCTTTTTTATGGCTAATATTCCACTGTATATATGTACCACATCTTCTTTATCCATTCCTCTGTTGATGGACATTTAGGTTGCTTCCAAGGGGAAAGAGGGGCTGGGATGAATTGGGAGATTGGGCTTTACATATATACACACTATGTGTAAAATAGATAATGAGTGAGAACCTACCCTACAGCTCAGGGGGCTCTGACTGGTGCTCTGTGGTGACCTGATTGGAAAGGAAATAAAAAAAAAGAGAAATACACACACATATATGTACACACACATATGTATATATGTGTATACACACATATGTATATGCACACACATATATATGTATATGCACACACACATGTGTATACACACATATACATACACACATATATATACGTATATATCCCAGGGATGGGGGAGCCTGGTTGGCTGCCATCTATGGGGTCGCACAGAGTCGGACATGACTGAAGTGACTTAGCATAGCATAGCATATATGTGTATATATATATATATACATACACACACATATACACACACATATATATGTATACACACATACACACACACACATATATATGCATACACACACCTACACACACATACATGTATATATACACACATGCATGTATACACACATGTATACACATATATGCACATACATACACACATATGTATATACACACATACACAATATGTATATGTATATATACACACATATGTATATACACACACCTATACACATATATGTATATATATATACACACACACACACATATACACACATATGTATATATAAACACACACATATATATGTATACACACATATGTTTATATACACACATATATATGTATATACACACATATACACATATATATGTATACACACATATATACAAACACATATATGTATATATATACACACACTACACACACATATATACACATATATATGTATATATATATACACACATATACATACATATATACGTATATACACACACACACACACACACACACACACACACACACATATGTTTGACTATACGGACCTTTGTTGGCAAAGTGATGTCTCTGCTTTTTAATACGCGATCTAGGTTGTCATAGCTTTGCTTCCAAGGAGCAAGTGTCTTAATTTCATGGCTGCAGTCACCGTCTGCAGTGATTTTGGAGCCCAGGAAAATAAAATCTGTCACTGNCCTGGTGTGCTGCAGTCCATGGGGTTGCAGAGAGTCGGACACAACTGGGCGCTTGAACTGAACCGATATATGTGTATATATATGTATATCGTGGATTCACTTAGCTGTACAGCAGAAATAGCACAACAGTGTAAAGCAACTATCCTCCAAGAAAATTTTTAAAAAGACATTAAAGCAAGGACAGGAGTCAGAGTGTGGGGTGTGGGGTTGTAATTTGAAAGGAGATTGGTTAAGGAAGGTCTCTCTAAGGTGACATATGAGGAAAGACTCAACGGAGTTGGGAGAGTGGGGCCAGGGGACATGCGGAGTTAGCATCTCCAGACAGAGGAGTGGACAGGACTGGGGGAGGAAGGAGAAATGAAGGGCGGTGTGGCTGGAGTGGAGCCTTGGCTCCTTGTGAAGGAAATCTTAAGGTGAGGGTTTCACGGGGCAGCAAGCGCGGCAGCGTCACAGTCGGGTTGATTGATGCTCACCTCGGGTCCTCACCTCTGTCCTGTGGGGTGGGTGGTATGGTCCCTCCCACTCTTGACAAAGGAAATGAAGTTTCAAGAGACTCAGATTCGGCCGAAGTCTCAGAGCTAGTAAACGGCAGCTCTTGGAATGGAACCCAAAGCAGGTGAAGATCACCACTAGCCCCCACGGCCCTCACAGCCCAACAATCCAGTTGTTATAAACTCCTCGTCTGTGCCCGTGGCTACGAGAAAGTAAGACTTTTCTCACCTGGGGAGGAGGCCCTTACCTCCAGTGCTTAGTTGGCATTTTCTTTGGTTGGTTCTGGGTATTAATTGCTGCTGTGATTATAGTGACTAACGGATTAGCAGAACTACTACTTGGTTTCACTTTGGTAAATTGTGTGTGTGTGTGTTGATTCATTCAACAAATATTTGCTGAATACCTACTATGTGCCAGGCCCCATTCTAAGCCCTGGAAGCACAGCAGTGATAAGACCAAATCCCTGCTGTACTTTAAAACCATTCTTTTTTCCTCAATTCTGTACTTTCACTGGATCCTGCTTTCATTGGAAAGTGGGGCCAAGGGGGTCTAGGAGAGACGGCTCTTTTATCGTCTACAAGTGGGCTGTGATAAAGATGTTTGAGCACCAGACGTGTACCTTTGACCTGGTCCAGTTTTGCCTCTTGATTGATGTCCAATGAGTTTCCATTGAAGATGCAGTGAGAGGGGTGTGGGCACAGGGCTTGGAAAATGTCCCACCCTGGGTGGTGCTGGTGAGTCTGTCAGCATCAGGGGTTGTCAGCTACGAAGATGGGAAATTCAGAACTCCTCTTAAGACAAAGGGCCTGGTTTTCTCTTAGGTTGTGCACATCTGGGCCAGTTAAGACAGTATCTCATTTGTGTATTGGTGAGTAAATAGTTTGAATAGATAAGGTTCAGCTTATTAAATGACCGACACGAATGGGTTTCTCCTGTTGCCAGGGAAAATGTAACAGACCCATTTCTCTTCTCTCCTGGGATGGGAAGGCCACAGCCTCCACCAAGACTTTTACGGAAGGCCGGTTATCTTCCGTTTCCACACTTAGGAGCACATCTTCCTCATAATTCTGGAAGCCCTAACTCTTAACTCTGGGTTGCAAACTCAAATGCATGGGGCAGCTATGACAGGTAGTGTGAATAATAAAAATGGTTAACTGTACTGAGTGCTTACTGTATACTTGGCTTTATATGTAGTGATACATTTAGTCCTCACAAAAATTCTGTGAGGTATTCAACATTTTAATCCTCATTTTATAGACTAGGAATATGAGGCACAGAGGGGTTAAATAGCTTTGGATTTGAGTCTAAAGCCAGAACTGTTCACCGCAGTGAACGGCTCCTACTACTGCCCAGTCAGAATGATGCAAAGCTTCTACTGTGTCCATGTGGCTTTGTACAGAGTTAGCAAGATACAGCAGAAGTTTAATTCAAAGTGGTCCCTGGGTGCCTGGGCTCAGCTTCTACCCTACACTGCTTCTCATGGGTAAATCTGCTTGGAGAAGAATATTACTCACTTTAATAAAGAAGTAGACTCAGGGAATTCCCTGGCGGTCTGTTGGTCGGGACTCTGTGCTTTCATTGCAAGGGGCCTGGGTTCGATCCCTAATTGGGGAATGAAGATCCCACAGGCCTCACAGCCATAAATAAATAAATAAATAAATAAATAAAAATAAAGTTGCTGCAACCAGTGATCATGGGGGCTGGGGGAGGAGAAAAGACTCACATTTCCTGAAATTCTCTTTCCGCTGTTCCTTCTCCATGTCACTCATTCTTCAGGTTGCCATGGCATCGTGGCTCCCTCTTTCGATGACATCGTCAAGCTGGCTGAAGCCAATGCCTGCTGGGCCCCCGAGGACCTGCTCTGCCTGGAGGAGGACACGTTTCTCAGGAGTGTGGAGCTGCTGGGGGCCGTCAGGAGCTTCAGCCTGGCTCAGCTGAGGAAGCTGAAGGAGAAGGCAGTACAGGTGAAGCCCGCGTCAGGGAGGAAGCCCTCACAGAGGGAAACCCAGCGCAGGGTCCCAGCCCTGCTGTGCACAGACCCGTCTCGTGGAGTTTGCACTTGGGTCGTCTTGTTGGAATCTCACTGCGTCCTCTCTGAGCCAGAGCTGTGATCTGTGAGCCTGAGAGAGTTCCAGCTCCTCCCTCTCAGGGCTCTGTCGAGGATGGGATGAAATGTCTTGGCATCTAAAGGATGCTCCGTAAATCAAATTTTGTGGATACCCTGGTGCCTCTGACTGAGGTGGTTTCCAGGAATCCTGCCTTTTCTTTCTCCACTTGGAGAACACCACCGCTGCTTGCAGAAGATTTTCTCAGAATCTGTGGCAAATTCACCTGAGAACAGAGCAGAAAGGAATAAAAAGAGAACTGGAAGTAATTTGCCATCTTTATAAAGATTCCCTTGAGTGGCTTGTTTCAGCTGTTAAGGTCGTTGTGGACGATGTAGTTATGGTTGTGGGGTTAAGATATTAAATTCCTTAAAATGATAACTCTGTTTTTCATATGAGTAATCCAAGTTTATTGTAGACAAGTCAGAAAATAATAAAGAAGAAAGTCAGTCAATCTTTTACCTGTAGATAACTGGGTAGCTCAAATGGTAAAGAATCTGCCTGCAGTACGGGAGACCTGGGTTCGATCCCTGGGTTGGGAAGATCCCCTGGAGAAGGGCATGGCAACCCACTCCAGTATTCTTGCCTGGAGAATTCCGTGGATAGACGAGCCTGGCAGGCTCCAGTCCATGGGGTTGCAAAGAGTCAGACACGCCTCAGCGACTACTACTTTCACTTTCAAACACTATTAATATTTTGGTATGTTTACCCGAAGCTTCCCAGACTTCTGTGTATGCATGTAAAATATATTTATATATTTCTTTATATATATATTTATATATTTCATACATATATTTCATATATCTCACATATATATTCTACAAAAAATAGTATCATACTCACCAACTATTCAATAGCTTCCTCTCCACACTAACAGTGTAAGTGCATATTATTACATATCAGAAATATAAATCTATATCAGCATTTTAAATAGCTACATAATATCCTACTTTATGGTTGATCTTTATTTATATAACTAGTTGGTAGATTTTTAGACTGTTTATTTTTTTAATGCCTCAATGTACATATTTATACATATTTCTTTGGGCACTTGTCTTATTATTTACTTATGCTAAATTCTCAGAGATGGAATTTCTGAATCAGAGTATAAATATTTTAAAAGCTTTTGATGCATGTAGCCAAATTTCCCTCTAAAAAGCATGTACAAATTTACATTCTTAACATCAACAAATGAGGGCATCCTTTATCTCTCCAATACCATAAGTGATCATTCTTTTTACTCTTTGTCAATTCGATCAGCCAACTTAGTATTCTTTGATTGTTGTTAACGTACATTTCTTTAATATGACTGAGACAACTTTTCTCATGTTTATTTCTTCTTTTGTGAATTTCCTATTCATGTTTTTTGTCTGTTTAAAAAATATAGTCATCATTTTCTTATTGATTTATAAGAGAACTTTATATATTAAAGAAATCTACCCCATGTCAGTTTCAAATACAGTCAGTAAAAGTGAAAGTGGAAGTCGCTTAGTCGTGTCTGACTCTTTGTGACCCCATGGAATTCTCCAGGCCAGAATACTAGAGTGGGTAGCCTTTCCCTTCTCCAGGGGATCTTTCCCACTCAGGAATTGAACCAGGGTCTCCTGCATTGTAGGTGGATTCTTTACCAACTGAGCTATCAGGGAAACCACAATCAGAAGGGTCAGTCTAATCTGGTTGTTTTTTTTTTTTCCACCTGAAGGTTTGGGACATGCCTTCTTACTGGAGAGAGTACCATATTGTTTCCCTGGGGCGCATTGCTCTGGCTCTTAATGAGAGTGAGCTGGAGCAGCTGGATCTCAGTTCCATCGATACCGTGGCTTCCCTCAGCCAGCAGACAGAGTGGACCCCAGGGCAGGTAAGTAGACATGCTGGATCTCTTAAATATTCTATTCTTGTCTTAATAGTGTGTATATTTTCCTTTATATCCTAGAGCATACTTACATTAGTCATTATAGCAGCTTTAAAAGTCTTTGCTGCTGGGGACTTCCCTCATGGTCCAGTGGTTAAGACTTCACTTTCAATGCATGAAATGTGGGTTCAGTCCCTGGCCAGGGAGCTAAGATCCTGTATGCCTAACAGCAAAAAACAGAACAAAACATGAAACAGAAACAATATTGTAACAAATTCAATAAAGACTTAAAAAATAACTTAAAAAAAATAAAAGTCTTTGCGGCTAATTTCATCACCATTGTCATTTCTATTTATTTATTTTTGGCTGCACTGGATCTTCACTGCTGCTCATGTGCTTTCTCTAGTTTCTGTGGGTGGGGGCTGCTCTTGCCCTTGGCTTCTCTTGTGGCGGAACATGGGCCCTAGGCTCTTGGACTTAACTAGTTGAGGTGTATGGGCTTAGTTGCTCCTAGGCATATGGGGATCTTGCTAAACCAGGGATCAAACCCATGTCCCCTGCACTGGCAGGTAGATTCTTAACCATTGGACAACCAGCGAAATTCATCATTGTCTTTCTGTTAGCTAATTTCCCCCCTAATTATGGTCATATTTTCCTATTTGTAAGTCTAAAAATTTTAATGGGCTAATAGCCATTGTGAATTTTACATCTTTGAGCACTCAGTTTAGTTGCTCTGCTTTGAAGAGTACTAGGCTTTGTTCTGGCATACACTTCAATTACTTTTAGATCAGTTTGATGATTTTGAGGCTTCCCTTTGAGTATTATAAGGGTGAATCTAGAATGAGCTTTATTCAGTGGTTAATTTATCCCCATCACTGAGATGTGATTCTTCTGAGGACTCCATCTAATGCTCTGTGTATTTCAGGATCTCTTCTCTAGGACTGGTGGGAATGTGAACTCTTCCTAGCTCCATGTGCTCTCTGAGAATTGTTTGGCCTCCTGCTTTCTGATGCCTTTTTGATATTTATGTGGACTTCCACTCCTGGTGTGTGATCAGTGCCTAGCCAGACTTGCTAAGACCTCTCTGTAGGCTTCTGGACCCCGTCTCCTCTCTGTGCAGTTTCTTCCTCTCCAGTACTTCGCCTGACAAATTTTAGGATCTCTGGCCTCTCTGGACTGGGCTCTGTATCCTCAACTCAGCCTGACCACTGGACTTTTTTGGGTTCCCTTTCCTGCTCCACAGCCTGGAAACTGCCTCCGGGCAGACAGTAAGGGCAATTGTGGGGGTCACCTGATTTGTTTTCCTTCTTTCAGTGTTATAGGCTTGTGCTTCCTGTTGTCCAGTGTCTAAACAGATTCATATCATTTACTTTTTTCAGTTTATGGTGAGAGGGTGATTCCTGTGTCAGTGAATCCTTCATGGGCAAAAGAAAGACTTCTGCCCAGAAGATGTTTCTGTTGGGTAGGAGGTTCATCCACTGTATTGCCGGAAAGTGGTGTCTTAGTTGCACTGTGTTAACTTGGTTCTCAGGCGGCCCTCCCCTCAGCTGTTATTTTCAGCACCAGGCTTATGTATCATGTAATTAGCAACCCCAGAAAAAAGCACTTCTTTCTCATTAATTTTTGAAACAGCCCCAGCATTGCCTCCAATCGTGCAATTGCCCGGTCCTAAACAATCTGGTCAGAAGTAGAATATGTGGGTTGGCCTGGCACACATCAGAGAGTAGAATCCATCTCATCAAGACCATCTGAACTGAGAACGGGGAACGTGTGTGTGATAGGCTATGTAATGACCCCCAAAGGTGTCCACTCCCTCATCGCTGGAACCCATGAATTTGTTCCCTTATGTGGCAAAAGGAACTTTGCTGATGTGATTGGATTAAGAATCTTGCAGTGGCAGATTATCCTGGTGGGCCCAACGTAATCACAGGGGTCCTTAGTGATGGAGGCAGGGGCAGGAGGGCTCCAGATACAGAGGGCAGTGTGACCGTGGAGGCAGGGGGACTCTGAGAGATTTGAAGGTGCGGTGCTGCTGGGTTTGAAGATCGAAGACAGGGCTCTGAGTCAAGGACTTCAGGCAGCCTCCAGAAACTAAAACAGACAAAGAAATGAATGCCCTCTAGGGTCTCAAAAGGAACACATCCTGATGCCCCATTTTAGGACTTAAGATCCCCAGAACTATAATAGAATATATCTGTGTCATTTCAGGCCCCAGAGTTTGTGGTAATTTGTTACAGTAGCAGAAGGAAATGAATACAGGTGGTTCACCAAGGGAAAAGCGTGGTGTTATCAAGGGGAGCGTGGATACCAGGCAGACAAAACCAAGGCGTGTCCCCTACTCTCATGAGCTTCTTGCAATCAGGATTGCTGTGTCATGACTCTGAGTGGCAACGTTCAAATAGAACACGGGGTGAATTGTGCCCCCCCGGAGCTGGGCAACATGGAGGTCCTGGCCCGAAGGTTGAAGTAAGTCAATACATGTGAAATATGTGAACAATGGGCTTATCTGGTGCCTCAGACATTAAGAATCTGCCTGCAATGCGGGAGACCTGGGTTTGATCCTTGGATTGGGAAGATCCCCTGGAGAAGGGAACAGCTACCCACTCTAGTATTCTGGCCTGGAGAATTCCGTGGACAGAGGAACCTGGTGGACTACAGTCCATGGGGTCACAAAGAGTTGGACACGACTGAGCGCCTTTCACTTTCACTTTCATTGTGAACAATGCCTGCCACCTAGTAGTCAAAACAATTAGTTGTTTTCATTGTTGTCATCAGTATATTGGCATCATCACACCCCCTCTTTCTGGCAGTTTAACACTTGCCTCATTTGCAAGATGAAAGGGTTGGAGCTCCCCCTGCCCCACCAGTCTGCAGATCCTTCCACTCTGACGTTCTATAATCCTGGGGTTCTGTGACTCTAAAACTGGTTTTGACTGGCTTAAGAAGTGCCACATCACACTTCCAATATTAAAATCATTCTGTTTGCAGTCTGGGAGAAAACAGGAAAATATCTCCAACTTAGAAACTACAGTATCTCTTTCCCTTTGTACAAATTTTCAATTCCCATGGATGGCAGTGAGATTTATCAATATGTTTGAAGGGGATATGAAAACCTAACATTTGCATATATCATTTGCAGTCAGTTCTTCAACTTTAGCTCCCAATCAAACCCTTAAATGCATGTTTCTAGATTAATAGTCAGACCTGGCAGAACTGCATTAACAGATAGTTCAGCTTAAAAACCAATATAAAGGAAAAAAACTATTATAGAAGCCAGAGGGATGAACAGAGAGATTGAAATCTTATAGCTATTCACTTTCAGCGGTTAATATTGCCTAAAAGTGTTGGTATTAATTGTCTTGGAATCATTACAGATACACTGGCCCAGTCATTCAAGGAAATATATTTTGGCTTATCACCTTGCAGGCTGAGCTTGCATTTTCCAGGTTCCAGTGGCAAAACAATTTAATATCACATCTTCAAAGTAATTTTATTTGAATTGTATTTTTGCACTTTCATTTTAAAATGGGCATGCCTGATAGTTGGGGAGCACAGATTGCTATGAGTCAACAAGTGAAACCTGATTATGAAGACTTAATAAGAAAAGTTCAAAAGCTAACTTGAATCTCTACCTCTCCTTCATCCCCAAACATCTTCAATGGCTAAGAGTAGAGGCTCTGGAGTCAGACTGCCTGGGTTGTAATCCTAGAACCAGTATTCAAGTCATCTTGGCATACTTGGCATTACCTTGGCATCTTGGCATAGTTACTTAACCTCTCTGTGCCTCAGTTTCCTCATCTGTGAAATAGAGATAATATTTACTTCCTAGGGTTGTGGGGATTAGAAAAGATAGTATGTATAAATGGTCAAAAGAGTGTTGGCATACAGTAAGCATTCAATAAATATCACCTGTTACTATTTGGGATGCACATTTCCATTCAGTCAAGGACATTTAAATCTAAGCACAGTGTTAACTGAAATTCCCTTATAGCACTTGTGAGCTTTGTAATCATTGAGGGAAGCTTCATGAAGACATTGAGCAATCTGATTTGCAGAAATGTAGGAAATCTCTCTGAAGCCAATCCATCATGTGATTGGATTAGAGAGGCAGTAATCTGATGTCATTTCAAAGGAATATATATTGCCTATGGCTTCTGTAAATCACTCACTCAGATGTTCATCTATTCATTCATTCAAAAAGTACTTATTATTCATAATGTACCCTACTGTGGGCTAGGCATTATGCCAGGTACTGGGAATACGGTAGTGAACTAGCTGGATAGGGTCTTCATCTTGGAGATTCTGCTTGGTGATACAGACAAAAAGTTGAGCAATCAAGAGGAAACATTTAACAACTTTTGATAAGGGATAAGCAGAAGATGGACAAGGTTCTCATGGAAATAGCAGGGAGGGAAGCTACTTGGGATGGGAGAATACAGGAAATCATCTCTGAGCGGGTAGCATTTAAACAGACCTGAGGGATAGAAAGGCAATAGCCATGTTAAAAAGTGGAATCCCATTGGAACGTTTCACAATGTTTGCCAACACTTTCTCTTAACACTAGAGTAATCCATATTGTGTGATGGGATGGACTGACATTAAAGGGAGATGGGAAGATTCACTGTGGCTCTTCCACCTCCACTCAGGAGATGTTCATCCTTGGATGTCCCCTCCCTACCTTTGCCTTGTGAGCTCTGGTCCTTTTATAATCTTTATAATCTGTCTCCATGATCCCTGACAATCCACACTATTATGCAGCTCATCTTTAGGGGATTGACTTGGGTCCTTCCTCAAGTCCAACATAGGCAGATGAAATTAATCAGGATTCATCCAGTTACAAGTGACAGAAAACCCAACTCAAAGAGACTTGAGCAAGAATAGAGTTTGTTAACCCAATAAAAAATGAATGGAAGATCTAAATAGACAGTTCTTCAAAGAAGACATACACAAGGCCAAAAAGCACATGAAAAGATGCTCAACATCACTAATTATTAGAGAAATGCAAACCAAAACTACAGTGAGGTATCACCTGAGATTGGTCAAAAAATCTACAAACAATAAATGCTGGAGAAGGTGTGGAGAAAAGGGGACTCTCCTACCCTGTTGGTGGAAATGTAAATTGGTGCATTATAGAGAACAGTATGGAGATTCCTTAAAAAATGAAATCTGAATTTCCATATGATTCAGCAATCCCACTCCTGGGCATATGTCCAGAGAAAACCATAATTCAAAAAGATACATGCACCCCAGTGTTCATTGAAGCACTGTTTACAATAGCCAAGACAAGGAAGCAACCTAAATGTCCATCAACAGAGGAATGGATAAAGAAGATGTGGTACGTGTATACAATGGAATATTACTCAGCTATAACAAGAGTGAAGTAATGCCATTTGCAGCATCATGGATGGATCCAGAGATTGTTATACTGAGTGAAATAAGTCAGACAGAGAAGGAAAAATATCATATGATATCACTTATATGTGGAATCTAAAAAAATGGTGCAAATGCAAGCACATTTGCAAAACAGAAATAGAGTCACGGATGTAGAAGACAAACTATGGTTACCAGGTGGAAAGGGGAGGAGGGATAAATTGAGAAATTGGGGTTGACATCTACACACTACCATGTATAAAATTGATAACTGAAAGGACTTACTATAGGGCTTCCTCATGGCTCAGAGGGTAAAGAATCTGTCTGCAATGCAGGAGACCTGTGTTCGATCCTTGGGTCGGGAAGATCCCCTGAAGAAGGGAATGGCCCATTCCAGTATTCTTGCTCGTGGACAGAGGAGCCTGGTGAGCTACAGTCCATGGGGTCGCAAAGGATCTGACATGACAGTGACTAACACTCACTTTTCACTATGGATTTACTATGTAGCACAGGGAGCTCTACTGAATGCTTTGTAAAGATCTATATGGGAAAAGAGTCTAAAAAAGAGTGGAGATATGTATATGTGTTTGTATATATGTGTGTGTGTGTGTATATATATATATACATGTCAGTATATGTGTGTGTATATATATGTGCATATATATATATATATATAAGTGATTCACTTTGCTATGCCCCTGAAACTAACACAGTGTTGTAAATCAACTATACTCCAATAAAATTATTTTTAAAAGAATGGAGTTGACTCCTATCACAGAGGATGTCAAGAGTGGAGTTAAAGTATGGCTGGATCTGGGGGCTTCAACACTGTTGTCAGGAATCCCTCACCATTTTTGACCCTGCTTTCTTCTGTTGGCTTTGTTCAGAGGCAGTTTCTTTCCATGTGGTGAGTTCTAACAGATTCAGGTGTTTGTCTTCCAAGGTCCAGTCCGGAGTAAAGAAAGCTCAGCTCTTCTAGTTGCCCCAGCCAAAGTCCTGGTTGGTTTTGACTGGATCACATGCCCCATCTAGAACCAGTCCCTACGGTCAGGCTAAGAGACATTCTGGCTGGCCAGGACTGGACCACAGCATCACTCCTCGAACTCAGAATGCAGTTAGCTCCAATTGGACCACATGAAGTAAGAGTGCGGGAGAGCTGGCTCACCAGGGAAAGTCATGAACAATGAATGGCCACTATGTTAAATTAAGGGGATCCTCCACTACACATCAGCCCCTAAAACTGAAGCTAATTGGAAAGATTCCCGTGTGGTTTTAAATGCCAGAGCATTTAATGTACTACCCTCTGGAACTGAAGAGTGAGAGACAAACCTGTTTCAGGGTAGATTTCACGAAGGTCACATCTGACTTGAACTCCCAAATAAAAGGATGGATTTTAACAGTTGGGAATGTAGGAAGGGCATTTCAGATTGAGGCACTGACTTGAGTAAAGGTGTAAAGGCAGAACATTACAAGGTTTTATCAGAAAATTGTGAAAACAGATGCTGGAAAAGTTTGGGTCCTAATGCAGAAGAACTTAAATGACCAAACTATCTGAAAGTCATGAATGATGAGGGGAATAAGCCAGCAGACACAGACCCAAGGTACCGGTGTCTTTAATGTTGAAGGATACAAGAACTTCATGGTCTAAAGATGCCTCCATAGATCAGGGGACATACTCAGTAGAAGCAGCACCATCGGGAGGTCAGCCTGGATGAGTGGCTAGGATGGTTGGAATGGGTAATGTGTCCAGAGGAGAAGCGTGAGCAATCAGTCAGGAGCTGGCTCCATTATCCCCTTGGATCTTGGGGTCTTGATCATCCCTGGATGGTTCATTTCTTGTCCTTCCACATTTTTATAGGCTAAATCCATTCTGCAAGGGTTTCTGGAGGATTCAGGCTATAGTGTCCAGGATCTGAAGAGCTTCCACTTGGTAGGACTTGGTGCAACTCTGTGTGCCATGAACATCACC